CAAATTCTTTGCACCAAATATAGCAGTCTATGACAAAAAGACATGACTATATATAGACAAATTCTAGGAACTGTTCGGCAGCAAGCCACGGGCCAATCACCGAAAAGATCAGAGCAATCAGGTACAAAGGACTTAGGCTTGTTAAGCTCCTCGCTAGAACAATTAACTTAGGCTAGTTGTTCTAGCCTGCAGTCTAGTTAACTGTGCTTTCAGTGTGGGGACGTCAAGGTGGAGAAGTAGGTCGTGCATGGCTTCGTTGTATGCTATAATCAGGTATTCTGTAGTAGGCGGGCATTCAGAGCATGGGAATGGAGCAGTGTGAGATTTATGCACACTCGAACTTCTAAATGTCCAAATCATGCACAAACCGATGCTCGCCAGTTTCTTATCACAAATTTCGGATCGCTCAGATGAGATCTTTATTTTCTGCCTCTCCTGGCTCATTTCGCTCCGACGTCGCTGACAGGTATCTTGGACACAGGATGTCCGAGTTATGAGCCAGCTGTCGGCAGGAGACGATCCATAAGTAGACGGCGCGAAGAGCGACGACAAAAGCTCCGAGGAGGAAGGAGGAAGAAAGACAGGGACGACTTTCTTGCTCATGATCGTGACCAAATTTAATATCCTGTTCTCGCGCGGTGTCCCCACCCACATGTGACAAAATGAGGAGAAAATGGAAGTCTCAACCTCGTTCTGCATGCATGCGTTTCTAATCCCTGTAAGTCCAATATTGCTTCCATAGGCGGAAAGGGGAAGTTGCTGTTGGAAAGCTTGGCAGACATGGAAACAGATCAAATCCCCAGACCAAGTGAGGAGGGAGGGAGGGAAGGACTGCACGACGACCATTAAACTAATAGAGGCTTGGGCAGAAGAAAGGGACAATGATACAAGCGACTGGCAAGACTCTTCGCAGTTGGGAAATATCTTTTCGCGAGACTGGCCCAGACCCGACTATCAAATACGGAGAGAGACCCGAAAGGATCCATTCTGCTCTTCCTCACGACATGCAGCAGTCCTTAAAAGTTACCACATCCTTGGACAATGAGTGTTTTTGTCTCTTCCAAAGATTCAGACTGACAGCACGTAACGCGCGGGTAACGCGCGGGAGGTTTGTGGTTGCGAGAGAACATGTCACCTATTCTGCTCTTTCTTAAGACATACAGAAGTCGCTGAAAAGTTACCATATCCTTGGACAATGAGTTTTTTTCTCTTCCAAAGATTCAGACTCAGCACGTAACGCGCGCGGGGAGTTTTTGGTTGCGAGAGAAAATGTAACATGAGATCCCAATTCATAGTGCTGTCGTGGAGTGGAAGTCGTAACAAAGCAAATTGCTTTCCCAGCAATCCATCCACCGAGTCCACTTCCGGTCTACGAATACTATGACCGTGAGTGCCGCAGCGATGCCTTACCAGTCAGGCCGTGATGAAGAATTTCGTGTAAGTCCACCTCCACATTGGTGCCTACCGTGCCAAGCCTTGTCGAGAGACACTTGGGAGTCCCCCTTCTCTCCACGGTTTCAGGAGCTCTCGATCTGAGTTCGGATTCTTCGGGGATATGCAAACTAGTGGGGAGGCTGCTCATTGTTCGACCAGATAACGATCTGAAGCTAAAGTTAGAACATTTCAGATCCCAAATAGATGGAGACAGGTGTAAGTTCCCATCGATTTGGGAGGCAGTCATACCTTTGACTGCTAGTGAATCTGCACAGTTCGTCCTGTAACCGCAGGTCAAGTCGATCGTCACTGGTACGCTGCCTGCAGCCAGTATAGCACGATACATACTAATGGCACGTATGCCTCACTGTATGGTCGAGTTCAGTAGCTGTTCATCGAAATTGGAGCCCTACAAGTAGTGGAATCTAACATAAGGCCAGAACTAGTGGCATCTTAGGCCATGCCGTCAGCAGCAGCATTGCCATGCTCCCCTCCGTCCGCGTAAAGAGTGTGGCCAAAGGCCAAGAAACTGTTGGTCCACTCCTTTTCATGTCTGAGGTCCGCAGGAAACCAGGCCTCTCACTTTCGATAGAGAGTGTGCATATTCAGACTGTTTCTCTGTATGACAGGGACACCGAGGTATCCTGAGGACTGAGGACCCTAGACTGTATCTCTGCATCACATTTAGAATCAACAATTTGGATATTTACAATTATCTTCGGAGTCAGATGGAGAGAGTGACGTTCCAGTGTTGTGGAATCAGTGCCAAAGTGCTTGCGTGCCAGAATCAAGTCAGTGTCGTTCCAGTGTTGTGGAATCAGTGCCAAAGTGCTTGCGTGACAGAATCAAGTCAATTTCCTTGCTACTACTGTAAAGGGAGTCAGCTTACGGTATACAATATGATGCATGGTTTGAATTTTGCCACATACTCCTGGGCAACATAATTTAAACGTAAAATGCAACTTAAACTGGACTTTGTTGATCATGAATGAAACTTAATCATGATCGACATAAGGTTCTATGCAGTGGATTCATTTAGCGTATTATCCTTTGAGATTCATAGCAAAGACCTCGCCTACATGATACCTTCCAATTTCAGTTGGAAGTTTTGACTAAGACTAAATTCACAACTCATTTATACATTATAATAAAAGAAGTACAGTTTCTAAAGATTCGTGTCGTTGACCCAAAACATCATTTTCTCACTCGATTATATAGGTTTTCATTTAAACACATTCAACCAAGTGAAGTAAACTTTACCCACAAGACCACTAGCAGTGTCCACAACAAATTTGCACGTGAATTTGCATCCACGTGCAAATTTGTCGCGGACACTGCTGAATGGGATTTGCATCCCATTCACTTTGCGTGGAATCTGGAATGTGAGACATTGCACCTCCAGCAGTTGTGCTTTTAAAATGAAACGGATGAGAATCAGACGTACAATATGTCAATATCTGAAGGATCTATCTCATATTATATATATATATATATATATTCTTCATTTTGTATGCAAGTTTTGATTCTAGATGCCATCAGGCTTCGTAGTTACACTCCACGATTTGGCAGCAAGTAACCGACGTATTTTGTTGCCACTTCAATAGAGGTGAGAGTATTATTGTAAACAGTAAAACATACGAGCGACAAAATGTACTATTCTGGTATGGGGTGTTTACATACATAGTCCTAGCAGGAAGAAGTATTTCCATTCAACATGATTGTAACTTAACTAAAAGAAGTCCTATCTCCTCTAGCGTTAAAGATTTCAAGTGAAAGCAATGAATAAAGAAAGCTCTTGTCGTCATGAATCATTGGATTACTGTACATGAGGCCAGCTCCCATATCATCATAATGTAAATATTTTACATCACGTATCAATGCATCCATACACAACCCAATTCTTTGTAATATTCATCAACTAATGTCATAAGTAACCGGCAATATAAGTGTTTCCTTTCAAATTAATTACAATAGTAAAAAGAGGCATTAAAATATCCATCCGCATTATAAAATATACTTCTAACATGACTATAAATTTATACTGCTCAAAAGAAAAATAAATCTAGATATAATCTTACTGCATACTTTTATATTTCAAAATCGTGGTAAAATTTTGTAGATAAAAATTTGAATCTTCTGTCTAAATTATTACAGCATTTTATATGTGCTTTACATTCTTGATGATCATACTTGTATACTGTTTGTTCACCAATTGTACTGGACTTATCTAACTTGATATATTCACATTATTACATCTAATTATTGTATGAAATTATAATTCTAGATCTATTCTTAGTTATTATTAACTTTTCTTACAATTCCATTACTTGTGCATACTCTTGCTTCTGCATAGATGTAACCTATACATCAAAGCCTTGAAATTCATATATTTTGGCTATCCACTATAATGAAGTTTTGCATAGTTTGAAATTTATATCCAATTACTTTTCCGTATGATGTTTACATAATTTGTTGTTCATCTGGAAGTCATAACTAAGATAAAATTAATGATCATCCATCTCGTTTGATGTCAATCATAGAATTGATAGATAACAATCTCATTATTCTTTTCATTTTCAAATTGAAATTATGAACAACTTGTTAAAAATATTATTAAAAAATTATGAAGCCTACTATGATATATCAAGAATTAACATATATGTATAACATGTTCTTAGACAATAATTTTTCTATTGCTCTAAACAACATTTTCTTGATGTCATTTATAAGAGTTGTCTCATTTGCTAACAGTGACACTAGACAAGTAACAAATAATTGAAGTGCGTTACACGTTATATCATGTTACTAGTGTAACATTTACATCTTGCATGTTTTGATTGAGTGTGATCGGGTCGAATATAATACTTTTGCGCGTGTGACATTTGGTCAAATCTCATTTGCTAAAACTCCATGCAAATTTTGAAACGTCTACTTTTGGAGTTCGTTTTTCGCAAAAAGAATAACAGTGCAAGAATATGTATTACACGTATTCATCGAAGTTTGATGTAAAGTTGAGAAAGAAACACGATGCCCACAACGATTTTTTATTTTAGAATTCTCGTCACTTTTCATTCATTCTCACCTGGATTATTGACGTACAACACTGTCGCGGATTGAGATACTATTAATTTACTCTCATGTGAGACAAGTGAACGAAGACTTCTTAGGGATCACAATTATTCCTTAGCATCATCTAATGATGATGCTTTAATGATGATTCGTTCTCTGTTGCTTTTCTCATCCATCAGAAGAAATGATGGATGAGTGAGCATTGATTGGGACATGATTCATATCTCAATCAATGCTTCCCTTTCAGAATTTTTGCCCCTGTTATGTCACAAGAGAAACTACAAAGAAGGATGGATGACTCCATCGAGTTGCAAGTCAGGACAGAAATATCTTCAGATCTGCAGAGAAGTCTACGCAAATGAATGAGAATTCTACCTAAATGTGCTGCGTGGGCTCCAGTAACGACTTGGTCGGATACGTGCTGTACATATACAACTTACGAACATATCGAACGGTAAATGGACAAATTTCATTCCGCCTTTTCCTCCATAGACAACGATGAGTCATGAAAACCCTGGATGCTTGATTCAAAACGGCCTGACAAGCTCGGAGGGCTAATTACTCTTGACTGGGTCTTGATCCAACCGCGTCGATGGGCCCATTGCAACCCCGTCGACTGTGGCTATTACACACTCCAGGCTTTTGGTCCAACATTATCTGATAATTGATGATAAAAAACGATGTCGGCCAGAGCTGAAATCTCTGCCCTGCGACGGTTTCGTTTATTTCCACTTTATCCCAACTATTCACGTGAATAGAAGCGTAGATCATTCGATCTGCGTTTTTTTTCACCAGTGTCTTGGCACGATCATCACTCCAACATCAGAGTTCTTTCTGTTCGGGAGATTCCGCATGACACAAAGTCTAGTTCTCCGGGAGGTACATGCCTTGCAGTACTGACAGTGTTCACCATCTTCCCTCATGTGTTTCATAGCAACATCATGGTTTCGCGGAGGACCATGAATACGTCGAATGCTTTGATACTTGGATTTACTTAGACGCTTCGTATATCCATTGAATACGCTGTCAAGAGATGCGCAGGACTTGGCGCAAAGACCCTCGTCCTTGACCTTGACCCATCGATTGGCTCCCGTCGAAAGTTCTTAAACGTAGAACCGATGTCAGTCGGGTGCAGGGCAAGCCCAGGTCTCCCTCAGTGACGGCTGTTTCTGATTCTGGTCCTCTATAAGATCCTTCACCTGCTACTGAGCTCTGATCTCCTCCGGGCGCCAGTGTCAGTCCTCGTTTTTCTACCCATCTCCATGTCTATCATGTCTGGTTGTTACATGGTGTTTCGACCAGCGGCGACGGATTCGAGAAGAATCCCACACAGACATAGTGTTTGATGGAAAATGCCTATCGGTCCATACGCTTAGTATTGATAACTCGGTCGACTGGCGCATTTCTCAACGAGCAGGAGTGGAATTTCTGTCGACGTCTGCGCTAAAGGTAGGAATCGGGCCTCAGACTACATTTAATTTGTTGTTTCTTTGCGACGGCGGAGAGACGGGGACTGAGGGATGTGCTGCCTTCGACACCGTCCGGCTACCTGCCTGCCTGGTGTTTTCTGAGCTCCGGCTTCAGTGTTTAAGCTGTATATTAATTATCCCCTTCTTGTGGACCTGCCAGTTTGCACATTAATGGGCTGAGATCCCAATTTCCGGGTCAATCTCGCACCATGAGACCACCTCGTCGCGAACGGTGAATTGTTCCTAAATTCGGAAGAGGCAGTCGCCCAATCGCGAGCAACTGAACTGTTACACGCAACGCAGCAGAGAACGAGTGCTTTCGGGTAACGAATCCAACTCTGCAGCGGCTGGTTTGGACCTCCTATTAAAAGGAGGCAGATCGGGTCAGACCTTACCTTGCACTGTACAGAGTGCGACCCACCCTTCCAGCAAACGTGTTCACATCTTACGTGCGACTCAGATGCGCGAGAGAGTAGATTGGGTTTCCTATCTTCGCTCCTCGGTGACGCGGGATGCTTGCAGATTAGAGCAATAGTGCGCGCATTCGCAGTAGCTAGACTCGAGCAGAAGGGACCTCACTCCGTGTGGAACCGTGAGCAACGATTCCAGTCATGAGATTTGGCCCTCGAACCGATTCTTCGAATGAGCACGCTAGCACTCATCCGCGGATTAGAATCCTCCAGGGTAAACAGCGGCATTTGCCAGTCGGGATTTTCAATTTGCCCATCGGTAGAAGGATTATCGCGAGGATGAGAATTCGGAGGTGCTGAACTGCAATTGCTGCTGATTCTGATCCGAATGACTGACTGATTGACTGACTTCGCAGGCCTCGAGGACGCCCAACTCACGGCCCATGGAAGCAGCGTTGAGGATGATTCTGCTGATGCCGTGCACCTTTGCTTGCTGGGAGAAGGAAGGGTGAGGGCCGGCAATCAGAAGTGTCCCGGCAGGCGAGAACAATCAAGCATTCGCTTCCTCAGCAGGAGGAAGAGGAAGCATGACAGTGGGCAACGGGAGGAGCGAGACGAATGGTACCAATGGAACCAATGGGCTCAAGGAGCCTCTTCTCCAGCAGGAGAAGATTCATGAACGTGAGCCACCATCGCCAGTTGCGGAGGTCACGGCCTTCGAGAAGGCAGGGTTTTTCAGCGGTGTCTGGTTCTTATGGCTGTCGCCGTTCCTCAAGATCGGGGGCACGAGAACGCTGGAGCCCGGGGACGTGCCAGAGCTGGCCGGGGGCGATCGAGCACAGGAATTGTACCAGCGGTTCGACACCGAGTGGCAGAAGCTCGAGCGCAAGCCCAACTCGCTCAGGAACGCACTGATCAAGACCTTCGGATGGAAGCTGGCGCAATGCGGCATCCTGGCCCTGATCAAAGTGAGCGTGGCGTACGTGGGGCCTGCGCTGATCGCCAGCTTCATGAACGTGGTCGCAGGCAATCAGCGATTCCCGTACGAGGGATACGTTCTCGTTTGCGTCCTGATCGTGGCCAAAATCGTCGAGGCCACCAACATCCATCTCTTGAGCTTCCACAGCCAGCTGCTGGGGATGCAGGTCCGCTCCGCCATCATCAGCGTGGTGTACCGCAAGAGCTTGAGGCTGTCGAGCTCAGCTCGTGAGAGCTACGGGGCTGGGCAAATCGTGAACCTCATGTCGGTCGATGCGGAGAACATGGCGGCCGTCTGTATGTGGCTGCACTACATCTGGGCTGTTCCCCTGCAACTGTGCGTGGCAGGATTTATCGTGTACCCCGTCCTGGGGCTAGGAAGCGTGGCAGGGTTCGTGGCTCTGCTCGTGTCTGGAGTATTTTCCTACATTTTCGTCTCCCTGTGCAGGCAGTACCTGAATAAGTACATGAAATTCCGAGACGTGAGGGTGCAAGCGCTGGTCGAGTCGCTGAATAACATGAAGATCATCAAGCTGCAGGCGTGGGACGGCAAATTCTACGACAAAGTGGCCGACGCTCGAGGCCTCGAGTTCGGGCAGCTCGTGAACTACACCATGGCCGTGGCGCTGGCCGTCTTGGCCAGCTGGGTCGCGCCGATCGTCTCGTGCCTGGCCGCCTTCAGCTTCGCGGTGTACCTGGGCCAGACCATCAGCGCCAGCGCTGCCTTCACGACCATTACCATCGGCCGGAGCTTCCAGGAGCTGCTCCGCCTGTTTCCCAACCTCGCATTCACGCTCGCCCAGAGCCTCGTCTCCCTGGCCAGATTAGAACGGTATCTGCTCAGCGTGGAGCTCGAGGCAGACGCCGTCGAGAGGCTGCCCCTCGGCTCGTCCTACAGCGCTGTGAGCGTCGAGAATGGCTCGTTCAAGTGGGACGGCGACGCCCATGCGCCGATTCTCCACAACATTAACGTGGACATCGACCGAGGCTCTCTGGTTTTCGTTGTGGGCAAGGTGGGAGCTGGCAAGAGCTCCTTCTTATCCGCCTTACAAGGAGAGATGTTCAAAATATCGGGCAAGGTATTTATCAACTCTCGGCTCTCTGATTTCTAACTTCTCGATTCTAATGTCTTGTGATATGTTCACTCGGAGATTCTGCCCACGTTGACGAGTCCATGAGACTGGATTCTCGAACTTCCTCTCTGCCGAATGGGCCCGAGTGACTGACTAGCCTCCAGATATGCTGCTGTCCGGTTTAAAATTCCCAGAGCTTGCAGAAGTAGCTGTGAGGGCAGAATGACGAGGTCGGGAATTTCTGGTCGATTTTCTCGGTTATCTTTTAAATTTGCAAAAAGTCGACCGATGATGAGAAGTGCACTTTTCACTAGACAGATACTGTATCGCGTAAGAGCTAGCTTCAGAATCGGGTCAAAAATGGTACGCAGGTCACCACGTGCGGATCGACTGCCTGTGTTGCGCAAACGGCGTGGATACAGAATGCAACGATCAGGGAGAACATTCTGTTCGGTCGACCTTTGGACGAGGAGAGATACGAGCTCGTTTTAGAAAGATGCGCATTGTATCCAGACCTGGCTCAGATGACATTTGGAGATCAGACTGAAATTGGGGAACGAGGCCTAAATCTCAGTGGAGGACAGAAACAGCGCATCCAGCTCGCTCGTGCTCTTTATCAAGACTGCGATATCTACCTCCTCGACGATGTCTTCAGTGCTGTAGACGCCCACACGGGCTCGCACCTTTTCAAGGTGCATTCCTTTTCTCTTCCTTCCACCACTTCCACTGTCGTCTGTACTTCAGCTGCGTGGCTTTTCCCAAGCCCCCCTTCCCGACACAAGTGAACATTCGACGTCAATGATACTCTTCTAACTCGAGTTTATGCTGCGAATTCAGTCATCATTAATGCGAACTCAAGTTCTGACACGTCGGGAGATTCTTATTGACAGGAATGCGTGCTCACAGCGCTGGCCGAGAAGACAGTCTTGCTTGTTACGCATCAGGTTGAATTTCTACCAAAGGCGGATTTGGTCCTGGTAAGCTGTGCTGCTGTACGACATTTGGTTGGTTAGATTTGCGTAAGTGGAAATGGGAATGCTGAAGACTTAGAAAGCTGTGGGTGCAGGTACTGCGGGATGGTCAGATCGTGCAGGCAGGCAAGTACGAGGAGCTCTTGGGAAAGGGAACAGACTTGGAGGCATTGGTTCTGGCTCATAGAGAGGCCTTGGAGAAAGTAGATGGACGTGAGGAGAACGGGAAAGAACAGAATCAGGGCTACGAAGATTTCACGAGACTAAGCACGGGCCACGGGAGCAAAGCGAATGGGAATTCTGAGGCTGGTGCTCGACGAGATGCGCAGGACATAAATGAGGACGGCACTGATGGGAAGGGAAGGGAAGGAGAAGTGGCCCGTCTCGTGGAAGATGAACACAAGGAATCCGGTAGAGTGAGCTTCCGTGTGTACTGGAAATACATGACCAGGGTGGCATATGGCCTCCTGGTTTTGGCGATGGTGATCCTTCTGGCCATAGGGCAAGTGGCTCAAATCGGTGGTGATTACTGGGTCTCCATGAGTGCGAATTACCAAGAGGGTGATTACGCTCAGGCACTGAATTTCATCTTCGTTTATGCAGCATTCTGCTTTTTGAATCTCTTCTTCATGGGAGCAAGACCCATCCTCTCGGGGATCGTGGGACTGCTTGCTTCGCAGAGCTACTTTTTCGGATTCCTGAGAAGCGTGTTCCGCGCACCCATGTCCTTTTTCGACATCACTCCAACCGGCAGAATTTTAAGCAGAGTAAGCGACACCTGACGGGATCTCGTGAGATTATCTGGTTTCATGTTGACTCCTTGACAGTCATCTCATCGGACGTTTAGGCCATTCATTTGTCAGAGCTGTAGGTGCTGCTGTCGCGATTTCGATCGCTTTTCTGCATCTGAGACACTGACAAATGAGATCACTTGTTCTCCACAGGCCACGACGGATCAAGGTGTGGTCGATTGGTTCATTCCTAATATAGCATTCGCATTTATCGCCGGCGCGATTCAGCTCATAGGAAGTCTTGTAGTCACCGGCTTAACAGTCTGGCCGGTCTTGGTCACCGTGATCCCTCTGTTCCTTTTCGTCAGAAACACTCAAGTACGAACGACACTCCTCCTCTGCACTCTTTGTCACCTCCATTTCTGTTCTGCCTGCGATCTGTCATCTAATACAGAATTATGGAAAGATTCAAATGAAACATATCTGTGAGAGGTGATGGACAAACTGGATGTCTAGGAAACTTCACACAGCGTATCACCTGTCTCTTATAAGGATTTAACCAGCTTTTCTGATTTCATACCTTCAGATCTGACCAGCCTAGTTGAAGAATCTCGAATGGCAGATCAAGTGTTTTGACCTGGATCTGAAGCTTCGTTCTCGATAGAATGCCTTCAGAGGCCTCGTCGTCAGGGAGTAGCCATAGCCTGATTGATTTCTGTGGTTGCATATCTGCAGCGTCATTATTTACGGTCCTCGCGAGAGTTGACGAGGATGGATGGGCTAACAAAAGCACCTATGATCAACCATTTTTCTGAGACCATATCCGGGTTCTCTACAATCCGATGCTTCAAAGAGCAGGAGAGGTTCATCGAAACTAATATCCAGCGCATTAACGCTAACTTCAAAATGGACTTCCATAACTATTCGTGTATGGAGTGGCTCGGAGTACGGTTGGAACTAGCGGGAGCTTGTTACATAGCTTCCACCGCCCTGCTTCTTATCATGGCGCCATCTGGCCTTCTCGCTCCCGGTGAGTTGCAACCTTCCATCTTATACAGCTGCCGATTGCCACCTTCCTCTTCCTCCTTCCAATGCTCTACCGATTTCATTTAGTGCGCACTTTACAACATCAGCTGATCGCACCCTGCATTCAGCTCATGGGGACTTTTTGTTGCTCAACCCGAAGTAGGTGATCTTCAACAGAAAAGCCTGTACTGAGGTTTCAAAGATTCAATGCGGGTAATCAGGTGTCATTCTTGCTCATGATTTTGTGATCATGGATCGAGAGGAAGATCTTCAAGCATCAGTCTAAACGTGGTACATGACCAATTTTGCAGAGAAAGTGGGGTTGGCCTTAACCTACTCCTTGACTCTGAATCTGGTAATCTACAGCATCGCTTGGTTTAGCTGCAGCCTGGAGAACAAGATGATCTCTGTTGAGCGTCTGCAGCAGATCTCAGAGCTTCCAAGCGAGGCTGAGGTTCACAGAAAGGACTCTGAACTTCCGCTGGACTGGCCGATCACGGGCAGCATCGAGTTGGAGAATCTTAAGGTGAATGCTGTGACTGTAACCGCTCGTGCTGAAATGTTTGACAGAGAGTTGAGGCAGTGCTAGATCGGCGCAGGATGTTGGAGCTCGCGGGTAAAACCTAAGTGCTTGTTCTCGTGTTGTGGCAGTTGCGCTATCGACCGACTCTTCCGCTGGTTTTGAAAGGAATTTCTCTGAAGATCCGAGGTGGCGAAAAGGTTGGAGTAGTAGGCAGAACTGGGAGTGGAAAATCGACTCTCATACTAGCTCTGTTCCGATTGGTCGAAAGCTCTGGTGGTCGAATTCTGATTGATGGAATCGATATAAGCACCATAGGACTTCATGACCTTCGCTCCAGACTGAGCATCATCCCACAAGATCCTACGCTATTCGATGGAACTGTTCGGAACAATCTGGATCCTCTAGAGCAGCATTCAGACGACGAAATATGGCAAGTAAGTATGTCAAGGTTCAACAGCACACCTTTTTTCTCTTGAACCTCCCCTCCCATGGAACGTGATCATTGTTCTGATTCCTGTTGCAGGCACTGGAGAAATGTCAATTGAGTACAGCAGTAAGTCAGCTTGAAAATAAGCTCGACTCCATAGGTGAGAAGACTCCGCATGGTTGCTCTCCGTACTGGCATGGAATATATGAGTTGGCTTTGATTAATGCCTTGTTTTTTAATTTTGCACTTCGGATTGATCAAACTTGTGAACTGGACTGTAATCTGACATTTCTCTGTTCAATTTCATGGGTATCTCATGACATGTATCGTAATAGTTGAAATAAAAAATAAAAAATAAATGGACTTCACAGAAGTGAGATGCAAGTGATCATGTCAATACAAGGAGAAACCTGTACCATTAATTGACCGATAGATGGAGGCAGTCATAAAGCCTGATATCCAAGTCCAAATATTTCTCACCTCTACAACATCCGGAACTGGGATTATGCAGTGACAGCAAACGGAGAGAATTGGAGTGTGGGGCAGAGGCAACTCTTCTGCTTGGGACGCATACTTCTGCGAAAGTCACGAATTTTGGTGTTAGATGAGGCCACTTCTTCTGTAGATACGGAGACTGATGCTGTGATGCAGAAGATTCTGCGCCAAGATTTTGCAGACTGCACCGTCATTAGTATTGCTCATCGGATACCTTCCGTCATGGATAGCGACAAAGTATTAGTTCTAAATGGAGGTGTGTTCTTCTTTGTTGAGCTAAACATGCTCGACGCGAGGTTTCTATGAGTTGTATTGTTCGTTCTAGAATCCATATGCCATGAGTGAAAGTTGAGTCATCCATTCGTTTCCGGATTGTTTGCAGGTATTGTGAAGGAATTTGACTCACCTTCGGCACTTCTGGAGCAGCCCGCTTCTTTATTCTCTGCCCTTGTCGCTGAGTATTCTGCACGAGCCGAAACCTAGCGACACCAGCTTTTGCTCTCCCTCTAGGTACCTTGAAGCCGTGGATGGATAAGGATGGCAACAACTTGTCCATCCATTTAATGATCGAATTAAAGATTGAAATCCACATCAATAGTAGTAGTACTGGTCCGTCGAACTTTCTGTACATCAGATAAATGAAGCTGTCAATAGCCGATATCAACCCGTCCGACATGATTCTTTGTAATGCTGCTCGAGTTATCTGCAACGATATTGCGATGAAAGAGGCTGCGGATATCCTATGTTACACCTCCCGGTGAATCCGGAAATTTGTCTGACTTTGGGCACCACAAGGCGCAATTGCGTTCCAGCTCACTTTTCTATTAGAGAGATCTTTGCCACTGTCGGCGCAGCTGCCGCAATCGATATCCCTGGCCTTGTAAGAAGGATTTGTCTCTTCTGCATTCCTTGTTCTTTTCTACTGAAAATTTTGTGATTCTAATCAGCTATGACAAGTGGTTCGGAAAAGGACGCTGTGAAGTTGGTTTGCGAGCTACTTTCCTGAGTCTGGCGCTTTCGCTAATGAATGCTACTTTTGATCGAACACTTCAGCATGATCACCGTTACATCTGAATTTTCCTTTCCCATGAAGCGGTTCCAGATTTACAATGACAGAATTGTGATGAGCCCTGTCAATGTAGATATCAATTTGTCTGACACCTTATCTAGCAAGAATCCTCGTTCAACCTTTTCGCTGCACCAAAAGCAAACTTTTGTCATGTCCGTTAACCGACATCGCGGCGGTTGCGTAGGTCTGACAATTGGCTTCTGGTTTTATATTTGTAAAGGGTTCAATAAAACATTGAGGAGATTTGTGCATCTACGACATTCTAAAGAAAGAGAACACTTCTTTAGAACACACGGGGATTCGTAAGCGCCATGAAACAAAGAGGAGTAGAAAGATGTCAGGCTCGGAGAGGAGACTGACAACCGACATATTGTGATTCCCATACTCTGTACTTGGAAAAATTGGCTTCTCGACCAACACGGTTGACTAGACGGATGGAGTTATAAATAGCTCGAGTTGGAAGGTGCATCTGCGTTCCGATATTCTGAGCCAGCAGAGGACCGTCGAAATGTTGCACTCAGGGAGAAAACAGGTCTAAACCAATGCCAGTGTCGGAGATTTGATGAACACCCTCAAGTAATCCATCAATCATATTTGAGTCACGTGCCTGCCACAGTATCACCTTTCATCTCACGGGACTTTTGTTGACTTCCTATGCATTCAACTTTTAGGAAGATACAAACAAGACTAAATACTCGAATTAAGCCTGCCATCATTCGCAAGTGCCTGCCATCATTCGCATGAGTTAAACAGGCCACATTCGGGGATTGCATCAAGTAATCTGCACTCGAGACTAGACGCGGCTAGGAATGTTTCCAAAACAATTCTGGCAAAGAAGCGTTAGACAATGATTTACTAGATGAGGTTGTAGTCCAGTTTATGCAGAATGGGGTGGCGGTTGGCAGGAGACCGCGTTTTTCCAATTAGTTTGGATTTCAATTGAGAAATTCAACCGAATAAAATTTGCGATATTTCCTGTTCGTCTTCCTTATTCTGATTCGCTTGTCACTAAGAAGTGTCTCAGTGGGGTAAGGAACAACTGTAGCGATTCAGAATTCTATGTGGAAACGGATGGAATTTCATAACGATATATATGGCCTCAACAGTGAAAATAAATGGCATTAAGACTTCGGTCTGTTGAATCTGAACCAAGGAAAAAGATCTCAGTCCTGCACTCCAACTTTGCAGTTCCCTTACTATTTGAAAAGAAGGGTGGACGTTTAGCAAGCATTGAGGAGACCTTCATGCAATAAAATCTTCAATGAGAACTGTCATAAATTCCACGCTTCTTTCTCAGCGAATTCAAGTCCTGCAGGCCCTGTGAAGATCAAAAGGTTCCGGATCACTGTCACATAGGAAAGTGCCCTGTGACATACACTTCACGCTCTATGAACAGAGAATCATTAGCTCTATAAACAGAGAGAGAATCACTCGCTGCAACCCAACGAAAAGTTGCTCTTCCACTAAAGCATCAGCCACAGGTCCATCCCACAGGTCCACAGCACCTGTGGGATGGACCTGTGGTTAGGAGGACGACTGTCATACCACCAGACCCCCCCTCAGCAAATTCATCCATTATTTTATTCATCCAAAATAACTGACCAACTCTCCCAACCCATCCACTTGTACCCAACAAAAAGAATTGAATACGGGCATCATGAACTGTTCAATCATTAAATAGCGGGGGGCGGTTCAAAATAAATAGAAAAAAAGAATGAGATATGATCCAGCAGGTATCCAGCCGTACAAGGATGAATTCCAAACAGTTAACCAGGAGCTAGGTAACGTTCGATGTACTTATAATACCATCTTTCTGTCCGGGACCGCTGATATTTTAAAGACAATACAATGTGAAATCTTGCTTCTCTATGGGCCTGGTAAAACCTTGTCTTCTCCAGAAGGTTATGCAACAGTAAACGAGATTTTTGCTACCGTTTTCTTGCAGTCCGCATTCTCCAGCGGAGACAAACAGTACGAGCTTTAGTCTGCAGAGAGTAAATATGTCAATATGTCGAAGATTGCTGTAGAGAGCTTGGAACGGTCCGTACCCACATGTGGAAACACTCCTTGAAATATACCCAAAGTATGCACTCCACAGCCCTTAAAAATAATTCCATCAATTTCCATCTACCGTACATGGACAGACAAATTTTATAAACTATTAGGGTTCTCATCAATATTATCTTGAATTCTAATAGTCTTGCACGTACCTATGCCTATGATTTGCAATGTATCAGTAAGCCATAAGAAGAGCAATAAAGAGAACTGCAACTAACCGTTGGATTGTATCTGGAGGGTTTTAAACGTAGTTGAGTGAGCACAGCAAGCACATCCTATTTTTGTATAACCACAAAACGGAGGGAGTGACTCTTGGACTGAAACAGCAGTGAAATTATTAAGCGATGAACTTGCCACATTCGGATCGCATTGCTTCAGAATATGTCCCGGACTCTGCCCAACTCCAACTGTGATGGTGAAATTGCCCAAGTCAGTAACGAACGCGGTTAATAAATTTAGAACAAACAGATCAAGAAAGCCTCCAACAACACAGTCACACACACAGTAGATACATAAAACACTCCGGATTTTTCAAGCGACACTATATGTACCAACTAATCACTGAGCTGCTCGTCCAGCACTAGCATGCTTCTGCAGGTTCGTCATGTCGTCTCATGTAACGGCTTTCTCAGTCAGATCCGGATTAGAATTTACAATTTCGACCGATAAAGTGTAAAACATCGTCCTACCCGTAAGCTGCAAAACAATTCAGTCCGGAGAGGGGCATTCCGAGAATTGAACTCGGGACCTCTTGCACCCTAAGCAAGAATCATACCACTAGACCAAATGCCCTGGATGTCTAATGAGGCGGAAAAACAGAATATCTTTTGTTATTCAGATATGTAGAAGTAGAAAGCCGACAATGTGTGAGGTTTCTATGTTATTCTAATTTATTTTTCAAAACAGGGCATGTTCAAAAATCACTTGAATGATATATAGCCAAAAATAGGATTGATAAATATCATAAACATATTTTACAACTACGACATTACAATCCTCGCTGTTTACTCGGCCAGAAAAGAGTAGCTTTCGTGAAGTTTCTCTTTCATAAGGTTCATCGAAGGACTTCTGCAACAATTTTTCTCAATTTTCCCTGCTAGACTCAACAATTCTCTTAACATTCGTAAAGGAGGTACGCCTTCATCTAACTCATCTAACGGTGATTAGTCTGCTTGAGAAGGCCCCAAGTCTTGTTTACCCCGGCCGACCGTATAAATAAAAAGAATCTGCAGTATGTACATATTCTTTGTCCTTCGTAGGTGGAATCACATCGCAGACACCACCATCGTTCTTTGCAATCGGTCGTTATTTCGTCAATCTGCTTGCACCGAGCAGCCTTCGGACTTGCTTCGATCTCATTGTGCTGCGCCCCAAGTCAGCCGCCTCTTTCGCTTTGTGGGGCTTCCGCTACCCTCACCTCGTCTCGTTCTTTAATAGCAGTGTCACTAGCAAATATAAAATACCAAGGCCGGGGACCGACTGGGGATGCCGCCTTTGTGACCTTTGCATCTGCTTAGACAGTAGGAATTCAAATTACATTGTTGAAGGGTAAACAGCTATCTCTAAGCCCTACCTGGGAGACGTAAAAAAACGTAATAACTTTTGCTTACTTCTCCAGAGTCCAAAAGCATCATATGAAACTATATATCCGAAATTTCTTAACAACATGAAAATTCTAAATTTTCAATTATATTTGTCAGGATTATCATAGATTATAATTATATGAGTGCCTGATATTTTAAGAACTTATAAATTGTTAATATTTATTGAGAATAACATGCTTCAATTTTTCAGATTTGGAAATTAATGTTAAAATCTTATAGATCATCACAGATATTTTTTGAAGTAAATTATTGAATATTAACTTCTAAATTTATTCAGGTTGATGATGAATTTATAATCTCGAATTATTTCACATTCTGACCTCTTTCTTGATGAAGTTAAAGTAGGAATCTAAGTGTGTAGAAATATAAGTTTTTCTGCCTTTTAGATATCCGTTCAATACCGTCAGTTGTTTTATCTATACATGCAACGCCATTTATTTATATCTTCACAATTTTATTTTTGCATGATGTACACCAATTTCTAGTCATTCAGCTGAATCACATCCAAAAGGTAAGGTTAGTCAAAGACTGGTTTTTAAATGGATATGTTATGGCTCAAAAATCAAAGCTATGCTCGTCATGAAAATTGAGATACAAGTTAAAAGTTAGCTAACATCTTTAGTATTTTCATGTTATTTGTATTAATGAATAGAAGAGCAATTGTATGAATTCATTAACAACATAATTTATAGAAGGTAAATCACATTTGGATTGTAATTTTAGTAAGTATCTGATATTATCTAGATAACGGAGGTTATCTTAGGCGGAAAGATACAAATATTTTGATCAATGGGGACCTAGTCCATCCTACCTCTTTGGTATCATCACTCTAAATTATCGGGGTAGTCCCATACTTTTTGCTACATGTTTGGATGTTCCCCCATTTGATCGATACATAAGGAAGTCATTACTGCATTTACAATATGTAGAAATCCAGCAATCCACCGACTGTTGAGACGACGTTACCCGTTTCATTTCTGGACGGTGGATGGGTCCTCGCATCAGACATCGAACATCAAACTTGGCTCAATAAAATAAAATGTTCAGACGGCCCAAATACCGTCCAATAGGTAGGCAGGCTGGAGTAGCCGCCACCGACCGGGAAGAGAAAACTGCACCAATGTAAAATAATTATGGAACGATGAAGGAAGTGACAGCGGATCGCTCGAAGGTAAGAGAGCGAGCTTCGGTGGACCTGAAGGTAGATGTGAGAATCACGAGGCCTTCGTGGCGCTCTGAATCACTTTCTGGAGGAGAAAGTTAACGCAGTGCGTTCGCATTACCCTAAAGTAAGCTGATGTCGCCGACGACAGGGGTGGACATTAGCGATCAGAACTGCGGTCGATGTGCGATCGGGCGATCGGTTCGTGAACGCGCTTTGTAATGCCCGACCTAATCGACTTTGCTTGCGCAGCCAACCGCTCCTGGTGGGGTCCCGGAGTCGATGGAAGTGTACCATGCCGCCCTTTCTCCCGTCTTATCATCATCACTGCTTCCGTGCGCTAGCATCGCCCACCAGCTGCGCCGTACTCGGCGAGCTTTGGAAGAAAAGAATGGACGTTCCGGTGTGGGTTTGGACTCTGCTTGAAAAAGAATGACAGCATTTCATCTCACTGGTGGAAAGCCCTGGGCGATAATGAGAGAGAGAGAGAGAGAACGAGCGATGTGAAAACTACGCTTTTGCCACCGCCTTCTGAAGCAAAGCACTGGAACAAAATTCGCTTGCTACGGAAGTAGACAATGGTAACCTCAAACGACGGTACGGACGTCTGGCTCGGCTCGAGGTCCTAGACTGCCACTTATGACAGCACCGGTGTACATCGAGGGTTCTCAGGTTCAGAAGCTCAGTGCAAGCGAGCTAATCTAAAACCGTGTCCCATAGACTGGCTGCGGTAGATGATACCTACTGCTGCTCGAATCTGCTCCTTCTGAGATTCAGATGCTGCAGTCGTCAGGAGATTCCGAAAGAGGCGAACATGCTTTGAGATTAGCGTCATCCATTGCATGAGGTCCACGAACCGAAGGTTGCAGTTAAACTCAAAGAGATTTGGAACCTCCGACACGAGTAGTCAGCGATGCTGGACAGATGAGGATAGTGTCGGCAGGGCAGAAACGCGCGTTTGCGCTCTGGGCAGGAATGGATGCATGAGCGGACGCCCCAGTCCCGCGGTGTCGGATCTTTCGGACACGCTCGGAGCCCATGGGTCCGTGAAGGCACAGCTCTCTCGCATTGTCGACCCTGGGCTCCGAATCCACCTCTGTACCTCTGCAGTTCATCGCCAATTATCCTGCTCTCGCTTATGCAGAGAAGATTTTACATTTTCCGATTATCTGGTCGGTCGGTTCGCGTGGAATATTCATCCTTTTGGGATTTGTACACTCGTCCTGAGAAAAGGTTTCGGATATTATGGGCAGGGAACGTGCAAAACGTTGGTTCCGACCAGCGTGTGAGATCTCTTTCTATCCTCCCGTGGTGTCCGAGACTCTCGGTGTTGAGATCCGCAGCACTTTCAGTCTTCCACTTGTAAAGTATATGTACCGAAGCCGGACGCTGGACTTCACAGTGCATGCTTTGGGTTGCATCTGCCAGTCCATGCATCTCCGCTAGTCTCTGCAAATTGGCAATACTTTTATCGTCCGACTACTATGCTTATCGCAGCTTCACTCCACTCGCTGCTTCGACATTGTCCCCGTCAGCTCGTCGCTGGCAAGGCCGCTTTTTGCATTGTTGAAATCCAAGACTGTCGAGGCGAACGACCCTCGAGCAATCCGCTCGTCTGGACGTGAGTTTATCCTGCACGAATTATTATTGACATTCAGCTGGGAGCCATTTGTCCAGTATTGTCCTGCTCCTATATAGCTGCAGCAGATCAGTATTGCTGGATGTGAGGACGTCCATCTAGCGGGCACTGCACTCGGTCTGGACTTATCTGCTCTCCGGGCTGATTCTGATGCCCACGTCTAATTTCTCGTTCTACCGCGTAATCGAGTCATACTGAGATCGAAATTTCAGATAGTATCACGTGATTGGCAACATTTGTACTGCTCGTGATTCGAACTCCACTCATTCCCTCAAGCCTTTCACCGTGGAAAGAGCTATGAGGCCTTAAGCGCGAGGCTCTACATGTGGCAGGGAATTGGGTTGAGACTCGACAGCTACGCAAACATCCAGAAGACTGTGACCTTCCTTGTACATGTTCGACGGTAAATCGCGAGGCGAGGCGTCCTACTAGGACGAGAATACGTGGTGAACGTCGGTGAATGCTGCCAGAACGCCCCATGCAATAAAGCGAAGATCTCGGCCCGCGACACACTGCGTCAAACTCTCATGCCGAAATGTACTCAAACCTTGAAGCTTATTCCGGATTCCCGCCGTCATTGCCATGGAACCTCAAGGCTGCGCAGTGGACCTTATTTGTCATGTATCGCTTCGCAGGTGATTTTTGTAGCTCCACCACCGGAGCGCTGTGAAATCTGTGAAGTTTCATCTACTCTACAGAAGGTGAAGAGATTATCACTTGCTCTCAGAAATGCACGTCGATCGACCTCGAAGCTCCACGTTACGAATGTGCATCATAGATTCTTGTAGAGCATATACCAATATGTTGATCCTGCGGCCATACTCTTCTTTTGACCGGGCCGATTACGATGCGTTCCTTTAATGAAACAAGTACCGACCACCGGTAGACTGTGCAGTTGCCATTGACATGATCCGAGTCCATTACTATGGGGCGCTGTATATTACTGGTTTGACTTCGACTCGTCTGCTGCAGATCGAGTAAGCTTTGCACTGCTGGTGTGATTTTGATTGCATGACAGATATGCAAGTTGGCCTTCTTCTGTCTCCTCCAATCTTCCAGCTGAGCTCAAAGGCTCTGAGATAAAAACTGGGTGGAGCGTGATCTTGATTGGGATGGATAATCTCACGGAGCGATTACTAGGAACACGGCATGAAGAAGTCGCCAAGGGGGAGGCAGTCACTCGCTATGCATCAGCCAACTTTCTCAGCAGAGCCATATTCTCTTGGCTAAATCCTTTGTTGCGCAAAGGGTACGATAAGCCCATCGAGAGAGATGATGTTCCTGCTTTGGCTCCAGAACACAGAGCGGCCCGCCTTTCCCAGAAGTTCACCGAAGCTTTGCCAGAAAAGCAAACCTGTAACTCCGTGAGGAACACATTGGTCAAAATATTGTGGCCATCTTTTTTCACAAGTGCAGCCCTGGCATTGTGCAAACTCGGTGTCTTGTACACCGGACCCATCATGATCGAAAGCTTTGTGCAGGTGTCGGATGGCTCGCAGATCTTCCCGAATGAGAAATACTACTTGATTGCCACTCTAATCACTGCCAAAATGATCGAAGTCTTCGCAACGCATCAGTGTAACTTCATCAACCAGGTGCTGGGGATGCAAGTCCGCTCCGCTCTCGTAACCGCTCTATTCCGCAAAGGTTTGAGACTCTCCAGCTCGGCCAGACAAAGACATGGACTAGGGGAAATCGTCAATTACATGTCTGTAGACGTGCAGAACTTGTCAGATGTGGTTCAGTATTTGAACAACGTGTGGACAGTGCCCCTGCAAGCAATTTTAGGAGGGACCATCCTTTTTTTTGTGGTAGGCCCTTCGGCAATGGCAGGGCTTCTAGTGATGGGGCTGACCGTTACAATAGAGTATGTGGCGGCAAGATGGTTGAAGGCTCTCCAGCAAAAGATTGCCAACAGCAGAGACCAACGAGTTAATGCATTGATGGAGGCGCTTTCCAATATGAAAATAATCAAGCTCCAAGCGTGGGACGGAAAGTTTCTCAAGAATGTGGAGAAAGCTCGAGATATGGAGTTCACCGCTCTGTCCAAATTTACATATACCGTTGCCTTTTCCATATTCATAGCCTGGTTAGCTCCTCTCACTTCATGTGTGGCCATCTTTGCTTGTCACATAGCACTGGGACACAGACTCACTTCAGAGATGGCCTTTACCACCATCGCCACTATGAGAGCAATGCAGGAACTCCTAAGACTCTTCCCTAACACACTTCTGTCATTATCTCAGACCCTTATTTCTCTTTCTCGTCTTGAGAAATTCATGTGGAGCGAAGAACTAGAGCCTACTACCATTACCAATACTCTTGTACATGAGGGTTCTCCAGCAATCACCGTACAAAATGGATGTTTCAAATGGGATGCTAGAACAGAAGAGCTTACTCTGAAGAACATCGACATTGAGATCAAGCGTGGATTGTTGGTAGCTGTGGTGGGAAAGGTGGGGTCTGGCAAATCGTCCCTACTGGCGGCGTTTCAAGGAGAAATCTTGAAAGTTCAGGGAGAGGTATGTATCTGCGTCTTGATGTTAGTATGCACACAGATAAATAAAATAAGGAGACGCATTGGCAACGACCCACATGACTCATCCTTTATCAACAGTACATATCAACGACTGAAATTGTTACAAGGAACAAGCCTAGACGTTTAAGTGCAATTTTAGAGACTTGTCTGTTTCCATTTTCTCTGGGCGATATTCACACATCTCATAGCAGTGTGAATTGGTAAACTACGGCAGAATCACACATAGTTGTAGCACCACATCAATTTGAACTTCCAAAAGTAATTTCTGAAAGGAAGAATCATTTTGCAGCTGGAAACTTGCGGGAGTACAGCTTATGTGGCTCAATCAGCCTGGTTACAAAACGCAACAATTCAAGAAAACATACTGTTTGGGAGGGAAATGGAGAAAGAGAGATACGACTCGACTTTAAGGACTTGTGCTTTATTGCAAGACCTTTCACAATTCGAATCGCTGGATCAGACTGAAATAGGAGAGAAAGGGTTAAATCTGAGTGGAGGCCAGAAGCAGAGAATTCAGCTAGCCAGGGCAGTATACCAAAACTCAGATGTGTATTTCTTGGATGACATCTTCAGTGCTGTGGATGCTCATACAGGATCACAACTATTCAAGGTAAAGCATGCACTATGACTTAAAAAAGTGCTAGGGGTAATAGGCATAATAGCTTTCACATGTCTTATATCGATGTTCTTCTCCTCTATCTTCTGCCCTATTCCAACCTTGAAAGTTTTGGGAACTCAAGTAAGTGAAAACTTTTCTATTGCAGGAGGTCATACTTGGAGCTTTACAAGACAAGACTGTCATTCTGGTTACTCATCAGATTGATTTTCTAACAAAGGCTGATATGATTCTGGTTAGTCGTCCACCCACCCCTTTGCCTTCAATTTCAATCTCAGAATGCTTTACAAATTTATATCCTGCCACACCTCTGACAATTCGGTTTCAAACGCAGGTTATGAGGGATGGTGCAATCGTTCAATCGGGGAAGTATGAAGATCTTTTAATGTGTGGAACCGACTTCGAAGCACTAGTGGACGCTCACGATGCAGCTATGGAGAAGGTGGAAAAACGAGTTACGAGCACAGGTGCAACTCCAGAAGCTTTCGAGGTTGACTTAATGAAACTGACCAGAAATACTTCAGGGACCTGGCAAGATATTACTCCAGGCTACACTTCTCATGCAGAGGATATTTACTCGCCAGAATCAGACGACATAGCCGAGCCACATCCTTCGTGCAGTAGACCATCTGGAAAATTGACCGACGATGAGCATAAAGAAACCGGTCGAGTGAGCTGGTGCGTGTACTGGTTGTATTTGACAAGAGCCTACGGGACTAAACTACTGGTGATTTTCATAGTTGTACAGATAGTGTGGCAAATCTTCCAAATCTCAGGTGATTATTGGGTAGCTTACGGCCTGGGGGGTACCGAAACAGATGACGAACTCCGCTTCATCACAATATACGGAGCTTTCGCCATGTCATGTGGCCTTTGCGTGATAATAAGATCGATGTTGATCGGCTTTTTGGGACTTAGAACAGCTCAGAGTTTCTTCATGGGCATGCTACAGAGCCTGTTCAAAGCACCGATGTCTTTCTTTGATACAACGCCGAATGGGAGGATTCTCAGCAGAGTAAGAACTTACTCGTCTGTCTACATATGTACCAACTGGCTTAAGTACACTCAACGTCATGCTTTCCCTTGTTTCATGCGCCTAAACTTTACCATCCACTGACGGAACTTTACCATCCACTGAGAGAATCCATAACAGTACTAAGGACCAGGACCAAATTTTTTTGGCCAGGATATTATGCCTTTACATATGCAAGGAAAGAATGAACTTGAATTAGAGACTGATTTCCTTGTTTCCTGCTTTTCTCTTCTTGATCAGGCAACGACAGACCAGCAAATGATAGACTACACCGTTCCAATTATGTTCGGAGCAGCTCTGGCTGTTACATTCCAGATAGCTGGAATGCTCTACGTTACTTGCAGAGTTTCCTGGTTCACTGCACTGCTACTACTTCCTTTGGCTTGGGTCTACCGGGCATATCAGGTATATCTCACTATTGTTTAAGATCACAGGTTGCAGATGAAGTCTTGATGACATGTTTTTAGAGAAGAATCAGACGCTTCTCCATAATGACCTAAATGTGGGCTGATAAATTTTTAGTAAAGAAAGACTTGATCAAGCTCACGAACACTTCTACAAATTGCAGGCTTATTACTTTGCAACAGCTAGAGAGCTGACCAGAATAGAAGGAATCACCAAGGCACCTATCATCCATCATTTCTCAGAAACTATAGCGGGATTAGCTACTATACGCTGTTTCAAGCAAGAAGAGAAGTTCATACAGGTGAACTTGGACAAGATAGACTCCAACCTAAAAATGATATTCCACAGCAACGCTGCAATGGAATGGGTTGGAATGAGAGTGGAGACAATTGGAGTTGCAGTACTCTTTGCGTCATTGATGCTACTCCTGGTTCTTCCAACGAATGTTATACGTCCAGGTTAGTTTTCTGCGGCCATCTTCTTTCACCTTTGGCTTTAGAACTCTCACGAGCTACCTATCTGCTAGTCCAAGAACAACCACGACTTAACATAATGTGTTCATCTCCTGCAGAAATGGTAGGACTAGCCCTGGCATACGGCCTATCTCTGAATCAGTATCTCTTCGACTTTGTTGGCTTGACATGCCAATTAGAGAACAAAATGATCTCAGTGGAACGAGTTGCACAGTACACCCAGCTACCAAGTGAGGCTATGGTCACCACAGATGAGCCTAAGTGCTCTCCAGATTGGCCAGTAACTGGAAGCATTACCCTGCATGATCTGCAGGTAGAGTCCCATCAAGTTGATCAGCCGAAGATTTTGTATGGTGTGTGTTCTTCAGAAACTCAATTTATGCAATGGAGTAGCACTATAGATAACCGAAATCTATCTGTAACTTACAAGTAATAATGTGTGTCTCAGCTGCGGTATCGACCACATACACCACTGGTACTGAAGGGTATCAATGTGACCATTGAGGCTGGCCAAAAAGTTGGGATCGTAGGCAGAACTGGAAGCGGGAAATCTACCCTTATATTAGCACTGTTTCGACTGGTGGAACCGTGTGGGGGGAAAATTGTTATCGATGGCATTGACATCAGCAGTTTGGGGCTCACTGATCTGCGCTGTAAGATCGGCATCATACCCCAAGATCCCACCATGTTTGATGGAACCATACGAAGCAACATGGATCCTCTCGGGATTTATGACGATGTTGAAATCTGGGAGGTAACTTTGGCATCCTGCTCACCTTCAACTCCATTACAATGTCTAGTAGGATGCTGCTAAGGTTCCAACACATAGAATCTCTGTACACCCTAAACTAGTTATGCGTTCAAAGCATGAGGAGTGGGAAGATTCTAAAGCCTTTGGCATTCTTGTAATTGCAGGCACTGGAGAAATGTCAATTGGCGAGCAGTGTGCGTGGACTTCCAGCGAAACTTGATGCATCAGGTAACTCAATTAGGGTCCAGATGGTATACTTCTGCAATTTGCTGCACCCCGAACTTTGAGTTTTAGCCTGAGAACCTGCGGCAGGTTTGAGTGTATGAATTTCGATGAACTTACTTGGTCAAATGCATTCAAATGCGCAGTTGCAGCTGATGGAGCGAACTGGAGTTTAGGGCAGAGGCAACTCTTCTGTCTCGGCCGAGTTCTCCTTAAACGTGCCCGTATACTGGTGCTTGATGAAGCTACGGCTTCTGTAGATGCCCATACAGACGGAGTAATACAGAAGATTGTGCGTCAAGAATTTGCAGATTGCACTGTCATCAGTATTGCTCACAGAATCCCGTCCATTATGGATAGCGATAAAGTTTTGGTTCTGGAAGCAGGTACTGGCTTCCGCATCCCTCTTGTGCAAAATCTAAAAATTTACGTTTCCAAATTCTCCACACAACTCCATGCCCGATGTTGTTGCGATCTGGTTTCCACTTTTGATTCATCCCTGATACGGAGAGCTTGCAGTCTCGTCCGCGAGGGTTCTGATGAACTGATCCGTTCGATTCAAGCTCGATGAACTATCTGACACTACCAAAATGGCACGCGCAGGTTTAGTGAAAGAGTTCGATTCGCCCGCAGTGCTCTTAGAACAGGACAACTCTCTGTTCTCTGCTCTCGTTAAGGAGTACAAATCGCGATGTCAATAACCGGGACAGATGGACAAAATACAGCGGAGAAGCAACCAGTGACTGCTAAATCACGACGGACCATCAACTCTACACCCACGGCAACAGCACCGTCCACCCGCAGATGGATTCAGCAAGTAGAACAGGGAAACAGAAAAGACATTCAAGATGAATGCATGATGATGTCAATTAGGAAAATGTATGTACATGTAGGAGTCCATGTCTTGCAGAAGAGCACTGCACAAATTAAAGGACAAATTTTGAAGTCCTGCTCGTCTTGCCTGAAGAATACAGGAGCAAGTAGTAGAATCTCTGATCTAGTTGTAGAGACTAACATTTTATATGAAGAGTGTACATTACCGTGTTAGACAGGCATGTCTGTAGGATCGCATCGGACAGATCACTCAGGAAAATGAAGAATCTTTTCTCTGAAATTCTGGATAGCAGTGAGGATTTGTCCCTCGTCACTTGCCCACAACTCGCAGTAACCAAGTATGTTGAAACATAACTTATGAGAGAAGATTGTTCAGGGCAATGTAGCCCAAAGTTATCGGTTATGTGTGTGGTCATTAATGTTAGAAAAATTTTGTTACTTTTTCGTATTTTATGGCATAGACCATCGTTTCGCTTCGTTTTCATCGTGCAATATAAATGTATAATTAAAAATACAGTCCAGTAATTGATCATCAATTTCTACTATTATCAAGTTTTTAAGCAAAGTTGGTGATTCAAGTTTTTACATAAGTTCTCGATAAAACTAAAGATTTTCACTTCTACCAAACTATGATACAATTTGATTAATATGTATACTTGTTACAATAATTTGGTTATAGACTAGATGAACATAGTTACTGTACTTTTCTATAGATTTTTATAGTAGAAATTCTACATAAAATAACTAATTAATTTTGAAAAGAAATCAAATTACCAAAATTAGTAGATTTCTAAAATCATAACATATTTTGAAGTATGTTCTAGATAGCAAAACACAAAGTTTGACAAGTTCAGGAAAGCACAAAGAATTTCACTTGTATGATTCATATATGTACATGAAGAAGATGAATATTGAAATTTTCAATTTAGTTATTGAAATCTTCTTCAAGTATTACAGAGGGAGTGGCAAGTTATTGCTCAGTTTGCTAATTATCCTTCCTTATACTATGACCGCGAAGATTGTATCACACAGTTCTATTTTGTATAGAACAGTAGGGTGACGGATAATTAGCTCAAATTGAGTAATAATTAACCACTCTCGGTTACTTATTGATCTTCATAAATATAAATTTGACGTGGAAAAATGTAAGAACTAATTGAATTATGCATTTAAGATGAATGATGTATATAAGTCCAATAGTACATTAAACTTGAATATTTATTGTGATTTAGAGTGAAGCAAGCTATGATTGAATCAAGATAAATATATTGAACTTGTGCTTGATAAGTTCAACATGGTGAAGTCTTAAGGGGCATGTTATTTTTTGTCATCACACTTCAAATTTTTGGCAACTCAATAGTCAACTTATGTCATTGAAAAGTAAAAAATGCCATCAATTTGACAAAGTTGTAGACAACCTCATGTATTTAATGATGTGCAAAAAGCTAGATATTGCTCTAGCTATGAGCAAAATGAACAGATACATATCAAATCCAAGAAAATCTCATTGTAAGTCATTTGGATGTAATTTCAAGTATATGAAGAGTACTAAATATCTTGGTATAATATTTGATGATTTATTAGACAATGTAAAATACTCGCTAGACCAGGTTGATTTTGAGTAAGAAGAGTATTGGGACAAGACGAAATCTACAATAAATTCTATGTTTGCATTTGATGGTAAATACAATGATTGGAAATCTAATTTGCAGTGTGTAATTGAGTGCAGTTGAATGTGTAACGATAGTAAAGCAAAATATTCCTAAACTATTTGGTTGAGTAGATATATCACGGAGACAAGCTTGAAATATAAGAGTCTTAATCTGCATTGTGATAGTCAAATGCGTCACTTCTTGTTTCAAATAAAATCATGGAAAGCAATGTGAAATATATTGACATTAATATCATTTTATCAAAGATGTAGCGTGTGATATAATGACAAAGTTACTCATGATTGTAAGTAAAATCAATCCAATGAATGTAGTGATCAAAGTTATTTCTTTGAAAAGTTTTATGAGACATTGGGATAACATGAAGATTTTGCATGACGAGCACATGTGGATTTTACTAATATCATTTGTTACCTTCTTATATATTTATTTTGTCATGTTTTGATAACGGATTAATTTTAATTAGCTCTAATGTAAAGAGAGATGTATCTTAGATTTACTTATAGATTTCACGTGGAGAAATTATATAGTTTATGGAGATTATTGTAATCACAACCTAAATGAAGGGGTAGATTGTTAATAAGAACTCAAGTTGAGAATCAAATTCAAGTTAGAGTTAGTATTACTCTTATCCTTGTGAAGTATAGATCCAGGGTTTTTGTTACTCTATATATATATATATATATATATAAAGTTGCGAGACATAACTAGTGTTGAACATTTTGCAAGTTATTTTCGTAAAGATATGAACGTTTTGTGTACATAATGAGTGAAATCCAAAATACTTTTCTTGTAGGCTTTGTGTATGCATGTTCTTTACAAATTGATGTTTGTGGATTTTTGTGTATTTTTCAACATTAAATTTACAAAATAATTCTATTCTTAAATACTTTAAAAAACTAAAAACCAAAAATTTCAATTATTTTTAATTTTTTTTAGAATAATGGATTTTCCCTCTAGTTTTCATTTAAAAAATAGAAGCAAATTCTTGTTATCAATGTAAGATTTGATTGTATATTCATTAAGTTAAATTAAAATAAAATAAAAATCTATGTGATGAATGATTTATATTAAGAACTTTCACATAAGTATATACCGATTGATTCTATATATTACATAAAAAACTAAGACATGAATTAATACAACTCATTACAAATAACTATTACTAGTCAAAGAAAGAGAAATTTTAATTACTATTTTGAAAAGAGCTATCTTATATCAATTCACACTTTGTTCTTCATGTGTAATGAACTACTATAGCATGCAAATTCTATGTACTCTATTTTTTTCAAGAAAGGAGGAGTTGTATACACTTCAGACTTCAAGAAGAAATGAAATATTGCGTTTGTGGTATCATTCAAGATAAAGCAAATAGAAACTATATATTTTATTGTACATCAGACTATAAACATATTGGAAAGCATGTGAATAAACTGAGCTCATTGAATGGTGTATGTTCTAACAATCCCAAATTAAGAGTTTCTCAATACCCTCCCGATGGAATAGAGGATGAGAATGTGAACACATTCTGAGATTTGACTGCAGTGGAACGGGGAAATCAGACGGAGGAAATTTGAATAGGGGAAGGGAGCGGACTGTGCAGATTGGGACTTCGAAGCACAGAAGCGCAGAACCTCGACGGAGGTCAGCGTCGGAAGGAAGGAAGAGGAGCAGCAGAGCAGAGTACAGACAGCCCTCGACAGAGCGCTGAGGAATTCGACGGCACTGCGAGGGCAGAAGTGCGGAGCGAAAGAGTGTTGGTGCTCATTTGGGCGACAGCTTCACGGATCCATGTGCGAGAAAGTACTTGGATTGCCCGGGGCCAGAGATGGAAGCCGAAGTGGAGGGCAGAGTGAAACCTTTGCCTTACAAGGTGCGCAGCGTGTCACGGGAATCGGCTGCGCAGAAGGCTGCACATGTTTTAGACCCCGATCTGCGCACTCATTGGTCCACCTCCACCAATACCAAAGAATGGCTCGTTTTGGAGCTTGAGGTAAAGCTTTAGCCCTGCCGAATTCTGTTGTTTGACATATGCCTGTCCCTGCTATTTGTTTGATGAGCGTTCTTCGCCCGAGAATTTGAGCTCACGCATTTATTTTTTGTATGTTTTTCCCATCCAAATTTTCCCCTTACAGCAACCGAGCTGGGAATTTCCCCGCGTTTTTCGTAGCTTTTCAATATCAGCTGGAGCGCAAGTCTGAAACCATTAGCATGAATATAAGGAAATACATACAGAGGAGCGAATGAGGGACTTAGTCACTGATGAAAAGCTGAGGAAAAAATTCATCCGTAATTGTGCCTATCACGTCCAGGAATTCGTTTTATTGACTTTTATTTGTTGCATTTGTCTGACAAATTATCACCTGCAGGAGTCATGCCTTCTGTCACACATCCGAATTCATAACAAGTCCGTGTTAGAATGGGAGATATCCATTGGGCTGCGCTTCAAGGTACGCCTCGAATGCATTTTCATCTCTCGGTTGTCTTCGTTTCCTTGAAGTTCTCAAGCTTTGTCCCGTGATGATCAAACCTTCAAATCCTTTTCAGACTGGTGAAGTTGGAGGTGTATTTTTTTCTGTAACATAAGAAAATTCTCAATTTTATTTGGTCTTTCAAAGTCTAGAGTTTTATTGTTCTTCTCCCTTCTTTTCTGCCTGCAACCCACTTGCGTGTAGGTAGGTTGTTTTGAAATCTGATAATGACGAATGTAATTTAATCGAATTCTGCGGTTGAGGCCTGCAGGATTCTGAAAGTGCCTTCGAACTGTCCCTCTCTTCTGGGAATTTGACGTATATAATTGTAGTGAATTAAGCGTCCTTGTGTATCTTGTTTATGGAAGCTGCCAAAAAATATATATCCTTTAGCTCAATTATGATCTCAAGCATATTGTATTGAAGTACAAAGAAACGTCCACGAAGGTTTCCCTATGCCTTGTAAACTGGGAGTATATCCTCTCCTATGTATGGCTTCTTTTGCAAGCTCTTGTCTTTCCTCTTGTAAGAGGCATTTACGACGGCGACAGAAATCAAGAAATTCATTCACGCCCTCTTGTAAATCAAACAAACCATGCAAGCAAGTAACCAATAATAAGCACGCCTGAATCCCTGTGGGCAGCGTTGATAAAGCCTTGATGAGAAGAGTTTACCGATGAAAGTAGCTCTAGTATTAATTATGTTTATATACATATTTGTGTCTTTGAGCAGCCCGACACATACTTGAAGGTCAGGCCAAGATGTGAGGCGCCTAGACGTGCTGAAACTTACCACATAGGTTTACAACCATGCTGCTTTGTACGAATCGCTTGTCTCCGGGGAAATCCGATTGCCATTTTTCACATCCAGGTCCATCTCTTCTTCTTCTTCAGCTCATTTTTATGACATTACATGTTTGGTTTCTTTCTTGAAGGACTCCCATACATCAGTATATGTCAGGTGTGAATCAAGAACACGGCAGGCATTTTGACATGCTGTAGAATTGGAAATAACGGACATTCTTGGTACATATTGCATTGACAGTTGATGGGCATCCCTGTTCCTGGATTGGAACCGGAGCTTCAACCGGTCGTTGATCAGGTCTTGCCACACATCATCGCACATATCCGAGATCCTCATGACATCTATCTCCAGGTGCGTGACTGTTATTGTGCTTGACGAATTGCTCATTCCTCGTGTATAGCTTCTGGATAAGCAGGAGATAATTTTAATGATTTGAAGTCGTTGGATTTTTTTCAAGATTAAAACTAACTACAAAGTCGTCTGGCTAACAGCTACTACAGGATATCTCAAGCCGACTCGCCGCTTTTCTGCCTCATCTTGAGGTATGTGATATAGTAAATTGAATTGCCTCTGTGCTGCCAAAAAGTGCTGGCAGTTTTCTTCTCGTATTTTCTCTATAACTTCAACTCGACCAGTATTAAACCCGTTTGTTATCCAATGGTAAATTGTGCAAAATCGCATGTCTGGGGGCGGTGAAATGATGAAGTTGCAAGGCTACTAGCGATCTGAAACTGATTTGTCCATGTTTTACCTTTATTTATGTTGTCTATGTTATCACCTTAGGAACTTTCATGATATTTAAGAGCACAATAGTAGTATGGAAACCAGAAGATCGTTTCACCTACTTGATTCCATCATTCTGTTCTCACTCTCAAACGATGGTGGAACTCATACAGTTCGGGTAATCTGATTTGAATGTCAAACTACGAAGAGAAGATCTGAATGTCATCGTTTTAGCTAAAGCATTTTACATCGAGCATCTGCTCGTGATCGTTATCGCAATTTTTGTCATTTTGTTTACTCTGAGGAACGGTATAAAAAAGGTAGTGCCTTGCGTCTTCTCACAAAAATGTACCTGTGAATCTTAGACTGATTCTGACTGAAGAAGTTTTTCTTCGTTCACAGGGGGAGCTGGCTGTTAGCAATGAAGCGATGGAAACTTCTATTCGTTTCTTTGCGATGCTTGTTGGTCCATTTTACCCTATTTTGACAGTTCTTGGAGGAAGGTGAGGTTTTGCCAACTTTGCTCTTGTAGAGAGAGCAAGTAGAAAGCAAGAAGAAGTAAGGCTTCTAAAAGGATGGAAAGAGAGAGTAGTTTCAAATTCTCGTAAAAGCTATACTGCAAAACATGAAATATTCGCTTAACGAGTCGCTGCCTCAGTTATTTAGCTAAACGCTTTTGCTTCAAGCTGATTCAAAGTTATCGTCTGCTAGTCCGCACTCAAAAGTTGCAGGTTTTAGTATCAATCACTAGTACTGCCGGAATTTAGCTGTAATCTATAGAAGACATGTCGAGGGGTTCCGTTTCCTGCATTACAACGCGAACTTCTAGGCCCAAGTTACTGGCATTCGGCTAGCTGAGCATTCACGCTCTCTCATTAATTTTGGTGGAGAGTCGCTCTATTTTAACTCGTCATGGTCCAAGTAGTAGGTCTTCACATCTTCAGTCAGTTTGAAGAGAATCCATTCAGTTGAAAGGTTACTTCAGTAATGAAGGTACACAGTTCATCGTGCACTTAGCAGTCCGAAAATGAGGGAGTTCTGTTTGAGAGCAATGTTCACCTCCCCTCGCTTGTGGTGTTCTGAGTGCTCTCTGACCAAAATGTGCGACAACCTAAAATTTAAGCGAGGAGAGAGACTGGTGTAAAGTGTACACCTATAGTTTTCTGACAGTTCTGGTGTGCATTCAGAGAGAATGATAAGTCAGGTAGCAGTGGTATGGAAGCAGATACTGCAAAAAGCAATCAAGCCACGGTGTTCACTGTGTCTTCTAACTTTCAGGTATTGTTGGAAAGTGCGGCGGCTCGCGAACTGACATTAAGTTTTGTTTAGAAAGAGATCGTTCTACTTGCGTGATGGTATTCTCCTTTGCTCAGTGCATCACCCAATTTAGTCGAGAGGATCCTCATCCAGCTGACTTCTGGACAGGCTCCACCTAAAAGGGTGCGTAGTCCTGGACTTTCACAACAACCGGCCGGGCACGCGTTGGCGTTGCGTCCAGATGCTGTTTTACTCCTTCTAAGAGTTGCTTACAAGGACACCTGCTTGGGGAACGTTTGTCGAAAGGTAAATGATACCCCACCAATATGAGCTTGAAGATATTATACTGCAAGTTTTTTCGTGCTTTTTGCTACAGTTTTTGATTATGTCTGATAAAGACATACCACAGTATTAAAGGCCATTTCTGTCTTTGACACTGTTTTGTTGGCAGGTCGCCAGAATTCTTCGTAGGCTGAGTGGATCTGCTCCCTCAGGAGACAACTCACTGTCTGTGGGTGAGTCTGCAGTCGCTTCGAGTGGTTCGACCGTCACAGGATTCGATGATGGTTCTGGCAATTCCGAAGCAACTGCCATGGCCTCTTTCCTGTTCGACTATTCCTCCATCTTTGGAGAAGAATTTAGACCGTATGACGATGATGGATTGGAGATCAACCATCTTGGGATTCTCGACGTAGCTGCTGTGGAAGAAGGATTCCTCCATGTTCTCTATGCGTGTGCTTCACAGGTACACCGAATTGAGACTTGCTGGAGTTTCATACAAAGTAGTGGTCGTGATAGCTGAGTTGGTGAGAGTAGATAACATTGATCGTTCTGCCATATTTCTAAATCTGTAAATTGGATTCTCACTGAGAGAAAACCTAGACAATCTACTACGTCGAGTCTCAGTATTCTTTATTTGTTTGCGTCCTGTTCGATCATGTGCAGCCCGTGATGTGTAGAAGGCTGGCTGACTCAAAGTCGGATCTGATTCCTGTACTTCCGTTCATACAAGCCATGCTTCCAGGTGTTAACCCGACTACTTGATTTGAAAAAAACATGTGATTGTAACGTTCACATCTTGCCTTAGGTTCCTTGAACAATGAACTAAAATGAGTTTATTTGCTGCGAAAAGGATGTTGGTTTTTTCTTACTTTCTTGCGGTCTCCAATTTGGTCATCCATGTTGCTGAGGGTTTCGTCTTTAATACTGCAGCTCTGCGTCCACTCCCAAGTTTAGCGGCAGATGCGGACCAGGTCGATGAGACCTTTTGGCAGTGGCAGGCTCCTACAGTACAACGAGCTGTCACGCAGGTGGGCTTTGTCGAAGAACAACGAAGTTCCGATAGTGAACTGGAGTTTAGGTTCATCATGATGTATGTTTAAACTTTTGTTTTAAATACTTAGATGCCGTATCCATACGAGCTCAGCATCGTTCAGTATCAGGGGCCGCTGCGAGCTTCTATTTAAGAACTTCACTTGTGCTGCGCTTGTTTGAATTGTCGTCACTTGCCATATTCGACCGTTTCGATCAGTGATACGAATTCCTTGAGGTTTTCGGACACCTTAGCTTTTACTATCCAATTCACTATATTTCTTTTTCCAATTGCATGTAGAGGCTGATACCTTGGTATTTGATTATAAGTTAACGAACTGCAGTTCATGAAACTCGGATAAACATAGTGAATAGCATGTTGGTACCGACGTAGGACCATTGAGTTCACAACAAGTTCAGCAAGTTGATCAGATTCCTTCATGGTTTAGAACAGAACAATATCTAAACGCAGGTTTCTTACCTTCATCGTAAACAATCTTAACTTCACCAGACTTCTTCATCATGGAGTGAACTGAGAGAAATCTGAACCCGCATCCATAATTTGAAAGCATGGAGAAGTCAGCTTTTCTGAAAGAGTTGTGTTTTCCTCTGGCAGGTTGTGGCGCTTTCATCTTCGCCGTCTTATCGACCACTCATTGACGCTTGCGCAGGCTACCTTTCTTCCTATTCACCTGCCCATGTAAGTTCTTAAATGTTTGTGTTGATAACTGTGCACTTATTGTCTTGCTTCCTGAGTGAAAGTGTGGAATTTTTAAGACTTTCGAGTGAAGAGAGGAACACAAAAATGTTCGCGTTTACAGAGTTCACCAAGATTTTTTAACGTTTTTAGTATGGTAATATTGCAGGAGAAGGCAGCATGTGTTTTAATAGACCTTTGTGCTGGCCCGCTTGCACCATGGCTTTCCATGGTTGTCGCGAAGGTGAGTTTCATATTTTGATTGTGAAATGTCTTGTTTCTTTGAGGACTTCCGTGTTTTCGATTGGGATAAGTTTTTCACCAAATTTGGTTGTGGCACAGGTCGATCTTGCCATTGAGCTCTTGGAGGATCTGCTCGGTATTATCCAGGTTCATATATAATACTTAGGCATCTCTACCTCTTTTTGAAGTTAGACACACTAGACAATGAGAATTTTTTTTGTTTCTTTGTGTTTTAATTGTCTGTACAACATCATAATGCGAGGTGGTGAGCCCTCACGAATGTTTTGGAAGTTCCAAAATCATATGGCATCACTTTTGTCTCCCTGATCTATAATTGATGTTGCAGGCAGGTCAACAAGATACTTCGTATGCACGTGCAGCTCTGGTGTACTTGATGTTGGGTCTTTCTGGAAACGTAGATGACGTTCTATCTCAGTATAAGGTTTGTGGCAATACCGATGTTCAGTTTCCAGTTCTTCGTGATGGTGTGCTGTATATTGCTCTTGGCACCACATTATAAAGACTTAGAGACGTAAATTAGAGAACGATGTCTACACCTGTTTCTTCTCACTCTGTAATTGGATTCTGTACAGGATGTGAAACATCATGTACTCTTCCTTGTAGAGATGTTGGAGCCTTTTTTGATTCCAGCAATAAGTCCTATGAAGAGCACCATTGCTTTTGGAGATGTCTCTGCTGTTTTGCTTGAAAAACAAGAACAAACCTGTGCTTTGGCACTAGACCTTCTCCACACTGCAATCAAGAAGCCTGCAGTTCTTCCTGCCATGGAAGCTGAATGGAGAAGAGGACACGTGACGCCCAGGTAATCAATCTGACCGCGTGTATTTTACAGTCAACACCAGCTATTGGTAAAAGTGTTTCAAGCTGCTGTGTACATATACTTGGGCAAAGAGAAATCGGTTATTAGGTTGTCATACTAATGTTTTGAATGTCAATTGCGAAAAAAGAGCTGGTCTGTAGGTTGCCTTTACAAGACTGGTATGTAGTAATAACCAGACTATATAGAAGCATCCAATGATATGACTGTATATATTGGAGTGCGTTTTCTATCATGTCTATCATCATTGTGTTACGGTTTTTAGCATCATTCGTGGGCTTATGGGTTTACAGATGCCTCACTGCATATATCCAACATTAAAGAAGTATAGCGAAGCAACTCGGCATCTTGTAGATTTGCATTGAGTAGAAAAGTTGATTTCAGCTGAAAAAATTCTCTCGTATCCGTTTGTACGTCATCACACCGTAATTTGACTTAAGTTGCATCATGCTCTCAAGCTAAAGTGCCAGCGCTTGTATATGTTAAGCATTGCCGACCGTGACCAATCGTTTACTGTTCTTGACGTCAAAATTTCTCAGGCACAATATGTCTTTACCCTCTGTGATCTCCGCTCAGCATTACTGATGATTCTTGTTGTAAACGTGTAATACAGTGTATTGCTGTCAATACTGGCACCCCATATACCCTTGCCACCGGGAATAGACCTTCGAAGAAGTTCAGGAGAGAGAAGTTCATTTCATGCTTCGGAGCCCGTTCAAGAATCGAATGGAACCGTTGGCACTGAAACTGTGACCAAGTTCGGTACTACTGAAGATGAAGGTACCAGCAAGGGAGAGGTCTCTGCTGATGGAATCACTAAAAGCGATCTTACGGAGGATCCTAGTCTTCTCTTTGCACCTGTGGAGTTAAGGAGCGTAACTTTGCCAAGCGTAGCGAGTCGTTTTGAAGGCACCTCCCCCGACTCACAGAAAGTTATGAACTTCAGTTCAAAAGTGGATGCGAAATTAGTTGATTTGAAAGGATCAAGCGTCGAAAGCAAGCTTGTCTTGGACCCAGTAAATGCTGAAGACTACTTCAATCTTCAAGCAGAGTATTTGCAGCTTGTGAAATCACAAGAACGGGAACTGAGGGCCATGGAATTTGTCCGTTTTGCTATGGAGCTGCATTCTCGAAGAGATGCAAGTAAAGAAAGCCATCAGGCCGCAATTGATGCTCTTCTTCTTGCTGCTGAGTGCCATCTGAATCCCTTCTTCATGGTTCCCTCTACAGTTTATCAGCAGCAAGTCGTTCGATTTCGGAAGTTGAATGACTTGGTTCATTTGACGGACAGTAATAATACTGATAGAAGGATACAGGATAAGGACAGAACCGGGCTTGAAGTAGTCCTTTGGCTCGAGGAAGAACGCGATAAAGCCGTTCTTCGAATTCTCTTGGAAGCTGCTGAGTGGGATAGCAGTGTGGAGAATTTGTTCACGGAAGGTTCTACTGATTCCGATTATAATTCTGAGACTTCTTGTGGTGTTCATATCTACAAAGAAGATGCTCAAGCTGAGGATGCCATTACTCTTGTTCGTGAACATCAGGGGTTGCTTTGTGCTTTCTTGATTCACCAGTTGAGAAGAGAGAGGCACAATATGTATGAAGTGCTGCTGCAAGGGCTTCTCATAATTCTAGACTCAGCCACAAGGCTATCTTCCCCTCCCGAAGAGATTATTGAAGTCATACTCCAGTGTGCGGAACGTCTTAATAATTCACTGATTTTATATTACAGTCAAGTCCGGGATGGAACTGTTGCCCCAGAGGCAGCAGTTGCCTACGGAATTCGAAGACAGTGGGCATTGTTGCGAAGATTGGTGCTTGTCGCAAGCGGTGGAAGATCTAATGAGTACGATGATGAACTTGCTGCCCCGAGAGGTTGTGTGTTACAAACAGCCCTGATTCCAGCTTGGGCATGGATGTCCAAAATCCCAGATTTTTCGTCTTCAGCGTTTCCACTTGTGCGATATGTAGGTTGGATGGCTCTTTCTAGGTATGCAAAGTTCTACAAAGAGACTGGCCTTCCCCTTGTTTCTGATATGCAGCAGTTAACGAGTTTGCTTCTAGTATATTCTGATGAGCTTTCTTCAGTAAGTGGTTGGAAGCTTAGAAAGACAAAAGAGGAGGATGTGATGATAGAAGCTGCCTACAGAGTTGCAACAAGTGATGGCCAAAATCTTGATCGTGGATCAAATAGTGATCCATCTGATCAAATTGACCCCGGCGGTCTAGTGAAAGCCCTTTATCCTGAACTGGATCTGGTGTTTCCGCAGTTGAGGACCCAGTTCAGTCAATTTGCTAATGCAATGCTAGAATCGGTCTGTCAGCTGCTCAAGGCTGTTCCTTCATCCAGCATACCAGACTTGCTCAGCTGGTTTTCAGAAGTTTGTTCAGAGCCCTTTCCGCCATCTGTTAAAGGATATGGCCTCGCAAACGTGAAATACGTCATTGTTTACCTGCTTGAGGTTATAGTAGTTGAGCACATGGAGGCCATAGTACCTGAGCTGCCAAGGATGTTGGAGGTTTTGTTATCTCTATGCTCTAGTTCATACAGTGATGTGCCTCTGCTGGAGTCTGTGCTTGCTGTGTTGAAACCTATCATATCGCATGCGACATCAACGGTGGCAACCGTAGAGGATTATTCACCGTCGCTCGGACCCGGAGCAACCTTCGAATCATTGTGTTTCGATGCCATGACGGAACGGCTGAAGGCTGTTACCGATGGCAAGGAATCGGAATCCAGATCTACTAGTGCACTTTTACTCTTTTTGGCCGGTTCGCTTCTCTCTGATTTGTCCGTAGGGAGGCGCATTGAGCTCATTAATTCTTTTACAGGATGGGTGAACTTTACTGCAACAAACTCCACTACGGTTTATCACAATTATCTTCGAGCATTTCAAAAGATTCTGGAGGAGTGTTGCTTGCTGTTGCAAAATTTAGTTGGAGAAGCAAATTTCGTTCTTTCAGACGAAAAACCACCTGCTCGGAAAACTGCCACCCAAGCCCTTTTTGCCCTCACGGCTCCTGCTTTTTCCACTCCGACATCGACGCAACTTGGAACACCTGTATGTTTGGAGTCTGGAGCTGACAATGAAGATGTGGAAGCGGAGAATGGCATACCGGAGGATGAAGGAGCTGTCAGTTTGTTAGACAACCAAGATGACCCAGCAGTACTAGGTGAAGTTGACAATGAAACAACCCCGGAAGATGGACAAGGTTCCGTTGACGATGGTCTCACCAGCCAAGACTTGGATATGAAATCCAATTTGTATGGATCAAGTGCTGAAATTCAAGAGTTTAAACAGAAGTGTACTGATCTGGCCCTTGCTCTTGGAGCTGCTCTCGAAGTGTGCTGGAGGATACATCCCATCTTGTGTCGTAAAGTCGCTGAGCTGGCAGCTAAATGTATTTACTTCTCTAGCTTCGAGGAGACCCACGGGCAATCCTGTCGTGATGGTGTTACTGCCGAGAAAGATGATTATCTGCTTACTACTACTTTAGGAGCTGTAAGTGATCCCCTTGAAGTTTTAGCTCAAAAAGCGAAATATTTTCAGGAGGCCCACTGCTGGCAGGTGGCGACTGTCACCATGGATTTCCTTCTATCTCTCCCCACCGCTTCGTCTGCGGCCGGGGCCTTGAAGGGGATATGTGCTGCACTTCAGTATCAGTGCACTCATGCCCCGAGGGTTGCATGGAGACTACAGACCAGCAAGTGGCTGGTGAAAGCACTTCCACTGGCGGAAAAGGAGTCTTTGAGCTCGGCATCCATCCCTCTGATTGAGCTCCTCTGTGTTATGCTCGAGCATTCTGAGCCGGAGCAACGGCTGGGAGCCTTGCAACAGCTAGGGAAGCTCATAAAAACTGATCTAGATTACATCAGCAGCCGAGATATGATTGCGGATGATTTTCTGAACCGACAATCACAAGAGAGCGTCACACAGAAGAGCTTCGCGCATGTACTAGTGGCATCAACATGGGAGAGAGTAACATCTACGGCCGCGTGTGATCCATCGCTTGGCTTACGGAAAGAAGCTTTAGAGCTTCTGCTGAAGTTCGTAACTTTAGCCGAGCCGACGCAGTTGCAGTCATTCTTGCGATCGAGTGATGCAGTTCTTCCAGCTTTGACTAGCTCAGCGGCTAGCATGAACTCTGGCCCCCTTACACGGCTTGGGTTGATGGTTCTAAGCAGGAGTTGTCTCTACTCCTCTCCCTCAGACATCAGCACCATACCTGCAAAAGTTTGGAACAGCATCGAGCTCATGGCTAATGCGAAAGCGGGTGAGTGTAATCGTCCACCATTGGAATATATATATATATATCACGTAGATACTTACATGTAGTTCCAAACCCGGAGGAAGTTCGGTATGCCTTCCTTCCCTTTGTCCTTCTGCGTTTCGAAGTTGGATACTTGTTCCCCTTCATCTGGATCAAAAGCCAGCGTGACGACCATCAAATGAACTTGAACCAGCATGGTTCCTTCAAGGTGGCTGACTAGATCTCGAATTAGCGGGTGCAACTTGATACACGCATACTTTCCACGTACCTGCTAACACTTCTCGTCCACTTTCACAGTTTTTTCATGGTGATATTCGTCTTTCCGTGATTTTCATCCGCACAAGCTTGGCGTTTTCTGTTAAATGTAATTATCGGCATCCGATTTTTCTTCAGGCTGCATCGAAGTAGGTTGCATGTCCATTCTCTGTGCGAAACAATAGTTTCTACTAACCTGCAGGTACAACTGGAACCTTACTTTATTGGCACCCCTCTCAATCTCTGTCATAGCCCCGCAGCTCGTTTTGAGTCCTTTTACTCGATCTTCCTATTTATGTATTATCATTATAAAGATGATGTGAAGGTAAAGTCGGTACTACGACGCACATCCACTGTGTAGAAAGACATAGGAATCGCATAATATGATCTTTGAACCACGAAGACACAAGCTGCAATTTGAACGTTGTTCGGATCTTTCTCAGGAGGCGTGTTTGCAGAAGCTGAGCGCTCCATCTGTCAGGCTCTGTTGCAATTACGTGAACACGGAGAGGCTGAAAAGCAGGTTACAACATATTTATGTTTTGCGCCATCTTGTTGACGCCATCAGAACTTTGAACTTAGAATGTGCCCGTATGGCACTGTATAATATTACTATCTCTGCAGATTATATGACGAACTTGGTTTGGAAGTAGTAACGGATTCTTGTTTTTTTGAAGCACTCACACTTCATTTTCTGTGCAGGCCTTGCGAGATGTCTTGTCAGGCAAGGTGGAGAAGCAAAGCTCTCCATCTAACTTTGCACCGGTCCGCGAAGCTGTCTTAGAGGTGTGAAATCCACGATGAGATGTTTTTTGTATCGCTGTGAGAAATTCACATGTAGTCTTCTATTTCAATTTACGTTTCATGTGTATGAATATTTTCACCCCTTTGTATCTTAGGTTGATGAGGAAGGGTTTCTTTTAATCAGCCTTGAACTGAGCTACACGCGGACATTATCTTTATGGATGTAGTATGTCTGGTTGGGCAACAACCTCGGGCAGGCCTGATATGTCTGGGTTGTACTTTTACGGCCGCATACCTGATGGGTAGCTAGGTCATGTGTGCACCTTGGGTTAGCCATAGAGTCTTATTATGTGTCCTCTGGTAACTTATTGAGGCCTGCTCCCTGGGTTACGTTGTCCCGTCCGCACATACTTATTTATGTAATATTGTTTATGGATATAGTATTTTGTTTAGATTTTAACCATCCAAGACCCCTTAGCCCGTCATACTTCGGTTCTTTTCTGAAAAGAGCATGCATACGGGTGTTTACAATCATCCAATGTTCATGCATGACAGGTACTTGCACGACTTAGTGCCGTTTGGTCAAAAGAAGATTCTATTGCAGCAGCATCTGAAGAACTTGCCAAGGTACAGGAAATGTTCAAAGTGTGATACATACCGAAAACCTCTGCCTTTCTTTTGTTTATGCCTTTGTGGGTGGTAGTAGCTTTATCTCTGATTCATATTTTAGATCTCACGCAGAAGCGTTTCTCGCCTCCTTGGGTTTCCAGATGTAATTCTTGCTTACTCCTCCTATTGCCGAATCATTGAATCATAATTTAGGTTTCAATTTTCATTCTATACGCATTTCTCACCAATTGCTTTTATATATTGTAGCTACCCCTAACAGTGCAACTTTCACGTAGTTGCTGATCAGGGATTTCCTATCTCATTTCTCAATTCTTCCATGTTGTGAAAAGAAGATGCCCTCAGACCTCCAGATCATAGGGTTGTGCTTAATCGCTACTTCTTGATAGATACTTGAAATTGTCTGTCCCGAGACAGGAACATATAGCCTCATGCAATGCTTTGCTTGCTTTGCAAATTACAGTTTTGTAAAAGGTTATATGTTAATATCACAAGTTAATGCATTGGTGAGTATTGACACGAACTTCGATAAATTTTTGTTACCGATGTGAAGGAAGTAAAAGAAGCAGAAATTGAGTTGGAACTTTTGAGTCAGGAAAAGTCTCCGCTTAAAACGGATGGTTCTGAAAACTTACGGGAACGAGGGTCCTTAGGGACTTCCGGGTCCATTTCAGGTGCGGAATTTGTGAGCCACTCTGCTTTGGTCTTCCTGTCTTCGAGCTTTTGAGTGGTCAGTTAGCATCGTCCATGCTTCATATACATTGGCTGATCTCCGATCTTGAATTTTGGGATTCCCCATGGGCTATGTCGTGTTGTTTAAGGAAGAGATCTCAGATGAAAGTATTCTATTTTTCAGGAATTCTCCAAGGAGATCCAAAAGAGCGGCTGAAGCAACTAAAGACTCAAATCATGGCGGAGTATGATACTTATTCATCAGTTGTATTGTTAGAAACAATGGCAGTCTTTTAAGGATGTTTGCTGAATTGGTACATTATATGAATTCGTATATTAAAGAGTGGGTTGAGCTTTTATGAAAGCACGACACGTATAGTATGATATGATATGAATGCATGAAACATATTGTTCTATGTTGACCTTTGTACTTTGTTTCTCTCAATTTTCTCTTTTACCAGGGAGCACGCCAAAACATACGCAGCAATAGCTGCTCGTCGAGAGAAGCAAAGAATCGCTCGTCGTGATCGACAGCTGGCTCTGGAAAAAGCAGCAATTCGAGAAATCGAGCTTCTACAAGAATTCGATAGGTTGGTTGTCTGTGATGTGTAACAAAATTCCTATGACATCCATAGTAAATACGCCGTGAGAATGCTCGTCAACAAATTCTCCCCACGTTTAGTGTAATGCTGTATTTGAAACTTTTCGTATTATTAACTAAAACTCTTAGTATCATCTTCAATTAGTGCTTGGACTGCAGTTACATGAGAGTTGTGGTGGGTAGGTTTTTTCCTAGATCCTTCTTTTGTTTCGTGTATATCTGACTCGGAACTTTCTGCCAGAGAGAGAGCCGCAGAAGCAGAACGTGACATAGAAAGACAAAGGACCCTTGAAAAAGAGCGAGCGAAAACAAGGGAAATGCGTCACAACTTGGAGTTGGAAGCTGAAAGACGGTCTCAGGCAAGTGTGATCCTTTTGCAGCATGATGGGTGATCCTCTGAGTTCATACCAAGACCTTCTGAGGATCAAGACCTAGTTTGTCATTGTGATAGCAATAATGAGCTCATAATTTTGCGCTGTAGGACTGACATTTTTTGTAATACATTTACATAGGCCCAGTTTTTTTTTAAAACCTTGTGAAGACTAATTTTATGGAAACCTCTTCTATCAGAGAGAGTTTCAGAGAGAGATGGAGCAAAGAGAGTCAGGTGCCATGCGATCGTCTCGGAGAGAGTTCGCTAGCGCTACTACACCAAGCAGGTACGTTGAAGGCTGCAGGAAGACTCTTTTAGTTTTCCCAGCCCCGACTACTTTTCGTAGGTACTCCTATTTGGCGACGATTCCTGATTAACCGACCAAAATTTGTATGTCGTACAGCCGGCCGAGGGAGAGGTATCGAGAAAGAGAACGAGAGAGTGGACGCACAGGTCAGGATGGAGGCACTACACCCCGGCCCAGTGCAGCCGGAGGCGGTGCTATGCGGGAGAGTGGCACGACGCCTCCTGCCACGCCAACAGCTGCTGCAAGTACACCAACTGCGGGGGGTGGAAATAGTAGATCATCCTACAACTCTGGAGGATTTGCGCAAGGTGGTCGTGATCGTGATGATAGGGGAGGATATGAGGAGTCAACGGTAGAAGGCAATGGCTCTAGAGGAGAGATGGGTGGAGACGGAAATAATAATTTTGGAGATGTCGAAGGAGGTGGATCCGGTCTAGAAGCTGGATCAGCCGGAAATTTAGCCAGTGGACATAGGCAAAGTGGACCTAGAACCACTCGACCTACTAGACAAATAGTGGAGCGACGGGAGAGAGATGGTAGAAGAGAAGGAAAGTGGGAGAGAAAGCAAACGTGAGTCAATCCTTCTAAATTTTAGTTGCTGGATCAAACCCATGGATTGGATCAGTCCTTCTTAACTATTGTACAACTCTTTTGTTCGCCTTTGACAACATCCTAAGCATCTCCTACCCTGAGCATGGACTGAGTCTATTGTGTAGCAATCTTTCGCCTCTTTCAAAAGACTTCTCGGGTAATGTCGTCAGGAACATCAAATTATTTATTCCTTACTTAGTCGATAAGTATTAGTCATAATTTTTGTGTATCAGGAGCGAGATTTGAGAATTCGACGTGAGTTGAAAGTGTGCATCTATCTATTGGCAAGCATTTCATAGTGAGTCCACCTCCAGAACGCAACGTGATGCAACTAAAGCCAACACAAAATTGTGGAGCTACCATTATGATGCATCCTTCTCAACGATTGGGAGATTAACTACCACAATCTGGTAACTTTTAATGGGCTTGAGAGAGTGGAATTATCAAAGTGACTCATTCGAGTCATTTTCTTTGTACTGATATGGAATTCAAGAAGCCATTTTGATCAAGGCTTACTTACTACTTGACAACGTTCCTCGAGTTAAACACTCGGAACCAACAGTGAAGCACTTGGTCCAAGTGAAAGTCGAAGGAAAAAATGAGGACATTTACCTACTCTTGGTATTCGAAAGCTGGAGTCAATGAGTATCATCTACAGCAAAATTGATCTCTGCTCATATCGTAACCCTCCTCCATTAGTCTGTGAAGAGAAGTTGAAAGGGGATCAAGCTAGTAGGTTGCATATGGAATATCATGCATGTGGATTTATAGATATATGTGGATTTCTGTAAATCTGACGCAGGAATATCCACATTACTCTGGAATAATGTGTATTATAATTGTGTGTGAGATATGAAAAGTATTCAATGGAGCTAAGTTAGTAATAGGATCACTTGGAAAGAGGTGAATTCGCTAAAATTCTGAGAAAACTACTCGACAGAATCCATGCTTAACACAAATAGTTTACCGGACCTATAGCTTATCAGTTTACATGATGGGATCCCATAGAGGTTTCATCAAATTCCAAACAAAGTTCTTATAACTATAAATGATAGATGGTAATAGACTAAGCCCGGGGACCCAAGGGGACAAAAAGCTGAAAAATACAAAACAAGCAAAAATCACAAACAAAGGAAAAGGTCACAAAGGCCAATCACTAACTAGTGCCAAAAGCACTAGAAGATAACTAATAATGTCCATAATATAACAACCTAAATCAAGAGAAATTAATTGTAATAAAGAATAGAAATTTTCCACATTTATATTATAAACAAGCCTAATGTCTTCGTATCTAGACCAAGTAACAAATACATGCTCTTCATACTCAATGTACCCACCGTCACATAATCTACAAATATGTTCACACCTATCAATATGAAACCAACGTACTTCCTCAATTCCAAGCCTATGAGATCCAATTCTATGTCTAGCATTAATATGACGTAAGGAAGTAGAAATTCTTGCAAGTACTTAATACTGTTCACAAAAAACAAGCATGACATTCACATGATGTTGATAAAACTGCATCTTGGTGCCGCACTTGCTCCAAATTATGTTCAGAAACTCCTCCTTTAGACGTTCACGTATTGCTATAGGTTGCAAGTTCCAATAGCGTTCTGTCACATTCCACCTCAAAGACCAAGTTATCATATCCACTAACCAGCCTTTAGATTTGAACAACATGTTTCCTAAAGAAGAATAACATATGGAGTTTAGTTTCTCACATCCAATTCTTCTCGTAGAATCATCTTCTGCACTCTCTCCACACACTCCTAACCTGTGTTCTTACAACCAGAAACTCACATTTGGGTTCTATATAATACTACCGGCAACACTAGGCTTTTGAATAAAAATTTCCTAAGACTTCAAGACACTAGATTATCTCTTTTCATCAATTTAACAATGAATATAGAACTTTGTAACCACCTTCTACTCTCTTTTGCACGCTAAGTGCCCAACTATAATCATTAGAAAAATCAATGCCTAGATATTTATAACTCTTCATCTCTTTTAATTATAGATACTTGTAATAGAAGAAGAACTTGGATCTAGTGCCCACTATCATGACTTTAGACTTATCCATATTTATCTCTATATGATTTTGGGTGCAAAAGCTAGCCAAAGTGTATAGCTGTTTCTGTAAACTAATTGCATCACGTGCTAGTAATATGATATCATTTGCATACAAGAGAGCTTAGATAACAAAGCTTCCAAGCTTGACACCTATACTATCACATGCCTCCACCAATATTTCGATATCATCCATAAAAACTCCAAATAAAGTAGAAGAGAGAGTACATTCTTTGAATTACTCCAATGATACTCAAAATCTCTTCAATTTGAGAACTGTTGATCTTGGCTCAAACAGAATGATACATCGTGGCCACAACTCCTAAAAGATTTGATGCTATTCCAATGACTTGCAATCTTTCCCATAATAGCTCACGATTTACAGTGTCAAAAGCTTTCTTAAATTCAATGAAGGCGCAAAACAAAGTTTTTGCATTGCCCTTACAGTTCTTCCATAAAACACGCAAGGCCAAGATATGGTCAATGTTGTTGTATGTAGGGCATAAACCTACTTAAAACCGTGCTCTCTTTCGATGAAATTCAATTCATGTGCTAAGTTTCGACTCCATCAATTTGCCAAACAACTTGGCAAAAACACCAGCCACCATGATAGTGCAATAGTTTGTCACCAAGTACTTCCTTCCTGACTTATGAATAGAGACAATTTTCCGTAAAGACCAAGTTGAAGGAAAACCATACATAGAAAGATTCTTTAACGCTTTAGTGAGTATTGATCCAATAACATCTCCTCCCCACTTCAAAAGTTCAATAGAAAGACAACTCAAATCCTCTGATTTATCATTTGCTATTTTTCTTACTTGAGCAATTTCCTTTGATTCTGAAAATAAGCCAGATATTCCTTCACAAAAAGGCATTGATGCAACGTCAGGAAAGAAATAAAGCTTTTCAGCAACTTCCATCAACCTCTTTGTCAAGGATTCTTGCTTTGTCTTAAAGAAACTCGTTTTTTAGACTTCATCAAGTCTTTGTAAAGACTTGTTAAGATAAGCCAACTTTGGAGATACAAAGACTTGTCAATTGATCTCATCCTTGCTTGCTTGCAATCAAAGTCAAACTATCTATTGCAAGGAAAATCTCTAGCTCTCCGATCCTTGTGCCGCAAAAAGAACTTAGAAGCAATGTCTTTGAGCAAGTGTGTTAGTTGTCCACTTGCTGAATGTGGATCATGGCTCCATAAAGTGTGGATCAAAAGGTTTTGAAAATGTAGCATGTAATGCTCTTTCTTACTAGTATCTAAACAAAACTTGGGAGAAGTTTAACACAATGGCATGGAGAGAGAGGGATTGCTTGGACATCAAGAGAGTAAATAAGAGAGGTGCATGATCTGATTTTGGCTGAGGTTCTAGAATATCAAATTTTGAAATAAGAGAGCTATTAGTGGCAGAGGATAGAAAATAATCAACAAAGCTAACACCTTTAGAAGAAAAACAAGTATTGGAAAGGAAGTTAGTAAAGAGAGATAGATACCGTTGACAACTTTAAAATTACATGTGGCTCCAAAGGTTAGATAGTGTTTTGTCAATAGATTTGTAGAAGTATAAGAAGAGTTTCTAGATCACATACTATCTTCAAGTTGTTCAAAGGAAGTAGACGTAAAGAGATCATCAACTTGGATAAATTGTGCACAACGTATTCAAGCATTGAAATCTCCAACAAGAAAAACTTCACCTTTGCTATGATAATTGGGAACATCTTCTATAAATCCATGAAATGGTAGACTCTGATTGCAAATGCGTGTGAAGTAGATAAGCATGGACAATGGTGCAAAGTAACAAATAGCCAAATAATTATAAGATCTTCTAGCAAATCCAAGATGAAGTCAATGATATTGATCTTCAGTATCTTGAACTTCTAGATGTATCAGAGGTAGAAATTGAGATTTGATGAAAGTAGCAATACCGCCAAAGTCTCTTTTTGCTCATTGATTTTTATGATTCCAATTGGATTCCATCAAATAAATCCTGGTATCTCTTCAATAGTGTTGCTCTCATGATTCCACGTCTCCACAATGTTGATGATGTTCGTCATCTTCCAAATCGGATGAACACTCACATACTTTGTTGTAGAAAGACCTATTATATTCCACATTGATACCCTCAAGCTCTTGGATTGCTAGGTTGATGATTGTCTTTTTAGTTGAGTGATATTTGCTTGTCCATCACGAAGATAAACAAAATTTTTTGCATCTTGAGCTTCTTTTACTTTTGAAAGCTACTTTCTACTTGTCGCTACTTGTAGAGCTATAAGATCAAAATCTAACCAAATCTTATGTCCCTTGAGAACGGCTTTGCTAGCTAAAGCCATATCACGTTGCGTTTGGTCATTAAACTTAACTATGATGGCACAAGATGGAATTCCTAGGGTTCCAATGCAAAAAGCTTGAGCCAAATTCGGATAAGGAACATCAAGTTTTTTAACCAAAAACTTGGTGACAACACTTTTCACCTCTTACTTCTCAGATTCATGTAGACCAGAAATACTCAAATTCTTTTTACGAGCAAATTGATTTGACTTTTCAATTTCTTGCTCTTGACAGAAAGAGATGAGCAGACTTGGTGGCTTCAGCATAAGATTTCATCTTCAACTCTAGACTTTCAACCACTTCATGCAATCTAGGAGTAGCAACAGTGAAAGCTTGAGAACCAACTTTCTTGTGAATGTACTTAACATGTTTAGAAATATCAACCATGATCTTTTCCAAACTTTTCTAAGAAAGTTTCAACTCCCAAATTTCATATTGAGCAGCAATCAAAGTAGAATTCTTACCTTGAATTCTTCACGGAGTACTTTCAACTATTCCAATGCCGTTTGCAAAAGATTGAGTATTAAATTGTCTTGATAAGCCATCATGTGAATGCTTCTAAAAAACTCAAGACTCAAAGATGTCTCAATTTTCACCTCAGAGTTGCGTTTGATCTAAGGTTTTGCAAGCTTGTGTGCCTTGTTCAAGTCCAAGCTCCCACAAAGTTTCAGGTCAAGTTCATACTCCAACCCAAAGTTAAAGCTCATGCAAAATTTGGCTCTTTCGTTTTAAAAAACTCAAACCTCAAAGATTTGTGCTTGGAATTGCGTTTGGTCTGAGATTTTGCGGCCTCAGGCACCCTGCTCAACTCCAAGCTCGCACAAAGTTTCAAGTTCAATGCACAACTAAGCTCAAAGAAAAAAATCACGTTAAAATTGACTATCTTTCCCTTAAATCTTGAAACTTGAAGCTCAAAACTCAAAATTGGATGCACTTTGTCTTTGGAACTTTGTTGAATCTAAAAATTTGCACGCTACAGCGTCCTGCCTAATTTCACAATGCCACAAAATTTCAAGCCTTGTTTAGACTCCAAACCAAAAATACGGCACCGATAAGATTTGGTTCTCACCTTTTCAAAAACTTGAACCTCA